AATATAGGGCTCGGAATAATTACTAGTAGTATTCCCTTATGGCCCGTGTATACAAAAATACGACAATCAGCCTCCCCCCCCCCCTCAAAAAAAAAAACCTATCTTAATTGTTGAGGCCCCTATATTCTTTCTTGAAATGAGGGGGGCTGAGGCCCTCGCAGCAAGTAAGATTTCCGTCGGAGTTTCTTGGGCTCAAGAAAGCTCGCCGTGCGAAGACCGTGCCCAACCTGAGCTGCGCTTCTGCGAGTCCGAAGAACGGGTATTTCGACTCTACCCGGAACCCTAAACCCTAAACCCTAAACCCTAAACCCTAAACCCTAAACTCTAATAAACCCTAAACCCTAAACCTGCAGGGTAGGCTCATGCGGAATCGGCTTTCGGGTTCAGGTTTTAGGATGCAGGGGAAGCCGGAAAACGAGCTTTTGCGGAGGCGGAGTATCTAGAACTGAACTGGCCGAACACATATATATGAGCCAGAGGCAAGACACCAAACCGTCTGGGGGTCTGTCCAGTTCAGGGTTTTGGAGTTGCATGAACTCAGGGGCCTAAGGGGTGTGAGCGGCCCCTTGAAATCCGGCTCGTGCGACGAAACAAGGAGACCGATCAGTGTTTGTGGGGCTGTAGTATTAGGGAGAATCTAGGGTTGAGGGATTCCATTCAACTAGAACAGGTAGCTGGGGTAGCGTTAAAAAAACAATACGAAAGGGGTTACATCAGGATCATCACTGACAACCTCGGTACTGAGGAGGTCAAGGGTTCAAGCTAAATGGTTGTAGTGTGCGAGCAGCAAGGACCGGCCAAAACTGCTTCCTTGTTTCGTTTATATATTCAAATCATCACTTGTTTTTCCTATTTGGGAAATTCAAAAAAATTGTGACACTATAACCAACAAGGATCCAGAAAGGGGCTGTGGCTTGAGAGCCCAGATACAATCATCTTGACTTGGCCGCTGGCTCGAGCTGCATTCCCAGACCACGCAACTCCGCCCACAAGATCCTCAAGGCCCCCCGAGACCCCAAAACCCAAAACCCAAAACCCTAAACCCTAATCCCTAAACCCGAAACCCTAAACCCTAAACCCTAAACCCTATGGTTGCCCCCTTTGGGGGTCCTAAACCCCACAACCCTAAACCTTACAACCCTAAACCCTCAACCTAAGTGACCCTGAACCCTAAATAAACTCGATGCCCTATGTGCCCTGAACCTAAAATGAAGCGTTGAGCTCGGGCTCGCGCGTTGTAAGTACGGCAGAGAGCTCAGCACACAGCCTCAGTATTTACGGCTTACGGGGTTTTTGGGGTTTAGGGGTTTTAGGGTTTGAGGTTTGGGGGTTTTAGGGTTTTCGGGTTTTAGGGTTTATAGGGTTCTCAGCTCAGGGTTTTTTAGGGGGAGGGTTCGGTTTTTCAGGGTCTTCGATTTGGTTGTTTGGGGTTCAGGGTTTAGGGTTTAGGGCTTAGGGTTTAGGGTTTAGGGTTTAGGGTTACTCGAAGGGACTTAGATTTGGTTCCGGGCATGCGGCTTCGGGTTTCAGGAGTAGGGTTTCAGGGGTGAATCAGCAGGTTTAGGGTTTAGGGTTTAGGGTTTAGGGTTTAGGGTTTAGGGTTTAGGGTTTAGGGTTTAGGGTTTAGGGTTTAGGGTTTAGGGTTTAGGGTTAACCCTCAAGCCCCGATCCTCCTAAATCCCTGTGCTCCAGAACTTTCTTTGAGCCCCCGACACCCCAAAACCTCTAAGCACCAGACTTTACAAAACAAGCCATAGGGTTTAGGGTTTAAGGTTTAATTTAGGGCTTACGGTTTAGAGTTTGGGGACGAAAAAAACCTGAACATGCATACGCCCACAAAGTAAAACCCCTGTAGTGTAGCCCTCTGAAAACATGCTTCCTACAAAGGCTCCTCTTTAACCCAGTGTGGAAATATAAAATATCCCAAGGGCCTTCCTAAACCCTAAACCCTGAACCCTAAGCCCCAAACCATAAACCCGGAACCCTGAACCCCAAACCCTAAACCCTAAACCCTAGGTCCTGGCCCTAAACCAGCACCAGCTTGCTGTCGCGTGGCGCGCCGAGAACCCAGTTGAGGGGCGCTTCCTGCCAAGGCTGAAGCTTCCCTACCGGTTTAGGGTTCAGGGTTTAGGGTGTGAGGTTTAGGGTTTAGGATTTGAGGTTTAGGGTTTAGGGTTTGGGGTTTCGGGTTTAGGGTTTCGGGTTTGGTGTTTAGAGTTGGGGGTTAGGGTGGTGTAGCCTGTCACCCGACGCCTTGTGCCTTTTCGTGGTCTGGGTTTGAAGGGTTCAGGCCTTGCTGGGCGGGGATGTGGGACCGCAGGTCTCAAAGCCCCAAAACCCTAACACCCCAAGCCCTGCAACGCCAAACCTAAACCCCAAAGCCTACGCTCCACACAAACCTCAAAACTTGAGCCACAATCCCCGAAGCTTTTGAGCTTGATATGAAGTCGGTTTATTATTGCTCTGTATGGTGTTCCTGTACATATTGGCGTGTAGATACCGGGTGGGCTTCAGGGTGTAGAGAAATGAGGGGCCGTTGGCACTCTATCTTCCAAAAGCCCAGAATGCAACCCTTTACCCTAGAACCTTATGTGGCCCTCAACCCCCAAGCCCAAAAACCTGCCCTAAACCCTAAACCCTAAACCCTAAACCCTAAACCCTAACCCCTAACCCCTAAACCCTAAACCCTAAACCCTAAACCCTAAACCCTAAACCCTAAACCCTAAACCCTAAACCCTAAACCCTAGCCCCCCAAACCCTAAACCTGAAACCTCAAAAAGAGGCCGGCCTTTGGCGCTCCATCGTCGATGTAGGTGGAGTTGACCCCAAACATCCAAAGGTTCAGCTCAGGGCTGTTGGGAAGGATCAGAGACTGCATTCCTAAAATCGGGCAGGGGTCACTCTTGCAGCCCTACATACTGCTAGTCCTGAACCTTCAATCCTAAACCCTAAACCTCAAATCCTAAACCCTAAACCCTAAACCCATAACTTGTGCTACGAACCCCAAACTAGGTTCCCCTAATTGTCGGGGCCCTCCCTCCCCTCTCCTGTACGTAGGCTGTCGAGTGTCTGGGAAATCTGGGGCTTCTGGAAGGATGTGAGTGCTAGTACGTAGTCATGGCACTTGATTTCGGGTTTAGGGTTTAGGGTTTAGGCTTACTGTTGAGTTGCCACCAGCTAACAAAGCCAAGCTGGCACGGGGATTGGTGTCTCATGGGCCAGTTTCAGGGTCAACAGGGAAGCCTGAAACCCCAAACCCAAAACCTCAAAAACCCAAGAACCCTAAACCCGCATTCATGTCGGCATCATAGATACCTGGAAGCTACATGCACAGAGGGCTTAGGCCCTCACAACACTCAACTCAGGGTTTGGGGTTTGGGGTTTGGGGTTTGGGGTTTGGGGTTTTGGGCTTCGGAGTTGGGGGCTGGGCCCCGCCATGACAACAGATCTGTCGTGACTTGAAACAGAAAACTTCCTTATTCCGAAGTGTCCCTGCCAGTTCTACCTGATAGATCACACAAGAGTGGCTTGTAGGTCATTTAGGTCCATAGGTGCTAAGCACCCTAAACACTAAACCCTAAACCCTATACCCTAAACCCTAAACCCTAAACCCTAAACCACCCCGGAAGCCAAGAGCATCACCCAAAGGTTGCCTCTCAGCTGCAACACCAGTATCGACAATAAAGGAAATCCTACGACCGCAGGCCCTGCACTCTGAATACCTGATCCCCAAACCCCAAGGAAGACTTGAAGTCCGATATCCCTAAGCAGCGGTAGGAAAGGCAGCAAAGTACATGGAGACCTAAGCCCTAAAGCCTAAACCCTGAACCCGAAACCCTAGTCCGATCCCTAAACCCTAAACCCTCAAGCCTAAACCCTAAACCCGGAGGATCCAATCTTGAGAAGGGCCGGCGCTGCCACTTCGTGGCGCAGAAAGAACACCACGAGTTTGTGGGCAAGGAAACAGAGTGCAGGGTTCAGGGTTCAGGGTTCAGGGTGTAGGATTTAGGGTTTGAAGTTTAAAGGATGTGTCAGGGTTTGGGGTTTAGGGTTCAGGGTGTAGGATTCAAGGATTTCAGGTTAAAGGATGTTCAGGGTTTGAGCTTATTACTGGTGGGGTTTGAGGGAGGGGGGGGAGGGGTGGAGAGAGTTTGAAGGGCGTCAGGGTGAAACACCACGGCGACTCTCGAAGCGAGTGGGCTCGCTTTGGATGCCCGCCCACTCTAGGGCTCTGGATGTTTAAGGGCAACAAGTGGGTAGTTCTCTACAGTAATTAGGGTCCCTTTTTGGGTCCCCTCTGTAGTACGGCACCTCATAACAAGGATCCCCAAAAGGGACCCTCGCTGATCTTGAGCATGCGTGCTTTCGGAAGCTAGGGTCGCCCGTCTCATACAATTCCAGTGCTGCAGCGATAGGATGGAAGCTGCCGTGCATGTGGTCACTTCTCAAAACAATGGCCCCTCTGTTGCGCTTCCTGTTGCACTGCGGAGACTTCTCCTCCGGGTACTCCCAGAATACCAGAACTTACAGTGCAGTTGTGGCTCGCTGTGGGCCAGTCGCGGCTCTCAACTTTCACGCTCCTGGGAAAGCGAGCGCTCCTCCTTCGTCGTGGCAGATCAGGGGTCTGAAACCCCCTCGACAGGCGAGGGCCCGTGACCGTTGCATCTGCAAGAAGTGCGGAGACTGGTCTTCACCACCGTCACGTCCCGGATGCTCGACTTTCAGCACACCAGGGGTCTCAGTTCATCTGTATAGCACTGTAGGGATGAGGTGACGAACTCGGCGGAAGGAATCTTCTGGCTTCCACATAGGCCCGGGCCTCAAACGCCCAAGCAACATAAACAAATCACCTATCAGCGGCCCTGCAATGTTTGCTATTTCTACAAGACTCCCTTATGTTATCGTATTCCAGAAGCTAACCTACCCTGCTACATAAACCCTACTCATACGCTGGACACGCACAAAACGCCAACGGAAAGTGCTCTTCTGCATCTGGCTGCTTAGCCCAAGGTGACGGACACGCCCACGTCCAGGTCCACCTCCGTTGCTGCTATGAACGCTTGCAAGTCTATGGCGCCTGGCTTTCATACCCCCTTATAGTTCCTGTATAAAAATACTGTAATAACACACCCCCCCCCTCCCCCCCCCAAACCAAAAAAAAACGTATTCTTATCTATTAAGGCACCTAAACCCTAAAAACCTCATTCCTAAACCCTAGACCCTAGACCCTAAACCCTAAACCCTAAACCTTAAACCCGGCCCCTATATTACCCATCTGCAGACTCGCGGCCGAGGCGTCCGGAAGATGGATTTTCTCCACCTCTGCCTGCCACTCCAGGCCTTGGGCGAGTACTGGTCGCCAAATCGACAGACCAGGGTTTAGGGTCTAGGGTTTAGGGTTTAGGTTTAGGGTTTAGGGTTTGGAGTTTAGGGTTTAGGGTTTAGGGTTTAGGGTTTAGGGTTTACCCTATACGCTAATTTTAGAATAGTTACATGCTCCCTTCATATACCCGATACAATCCAAGGGTCCATACTTCAGAACCCTTGAAAGGAGGTAAGGACCGTATTAAGGCCCATAAAAATACCGAACTATACTCTAAACCCTTCAAAGCCTATAAGCCCTGTCAGCTCTACAAATCCTATAAACCCTACAAGCACAAGAAACCCCAGCCCTGAGCCCTAAACCGCAAACCCTACCCTTAAAGGGTTTAGGGTTTTGGGTTGAATTTGGGGCTAGGATTTACTTGGAGGGGTTTAGGGGTCCGGAACTTCAACCTTAAACCCGTTCGGCGCTTGTGACAGAGTGTATCAAAGGAGTAAACACCCTAATAAGCGACCTTAGTGGTTATTTCGGGGTTCTTTAGGGGCTACTTAGGTACGCAGAGCCTATAAGGTATATGGGGATGATATCGGGGAATACGACTCAGGGTCCCTTCTCGGGGTCCTTCCTTGTACCCCTGCAGTGTTTATCAGGGTTGGGAAGCACAGCATGGCTCTGCCAGTTGGCATGGAGTACGTTTCGAAGCGGCGTTTCGCTGCGCGGAGGCATCTGCTTCCTGCTTGTTGGGAAAGTGCACCAACTTCAAGTTCTTGAACAAAGCTGTGGGGGGAACCTCCACTCTGAGCTTCTCTCCTGCCCTGGGAAACATCGCCTGCCAGCAGCTCGTTGCTGGCTGCATCAGTGGTCATGATCTCCAAACCCCGCCCCCACCCACCTTGCGGTGGGCACCTTACAGTATCGCAAGGCCACCAATTGCGACAACAGCAGGAACAACTACACCAGAGTAGGGAAGGAAGGACTTAGGTACCCTACATCATCCCTTCAACCCTAAACCCTAAACCCTAAACCCTAAACCCTAACTCTTTAGGGAACTGGGAGGGCCCTGAAAGCCCTCTGAAAAATACTCCTAAATATAATCTTCTTAGGCAGGCAAAAAATATACATGTCCCCAAGGGCCTACCGAGAAATACAAGGTGCCTGATTCCCTCACTTCCCTGCTAAGAACCTCCCTGCTAAGAACCCCCGCAGGGTTTAGGGTTTAAGGTTTAGGGTTTAGGGTTTAGGGCACATCCGCCACTCAAAGGATCCCGCTGCGCTTCATTTCGCGTGCCCGTGCTTGGACTTCCTCCTGCTTGGCCTCCTTCACCTGCGTCTTCAGGGCGGCTTTTTGGAGGGGCTGACAAGGGGGTTCCGAAGGTAGGGGTCTATGTTAGGGATCCCGTGTTTTCGGAAACCCCCACATGGGGTTTTTGACATCGGGGGCGTGCTAGGGCATGTGGGGAAGCTGAAAAAGTTCGCGACAGCTTCGAAGTGTTGGCCAGCACTTTGCCAAGCCCTCCACCCCAACTTCACTGCTGTTACGTGTGCTGTGACCACGACTGCGACTACCACCAAAAAGAGAACAACAATTACGACTATGATTTAAGTACTTCCAACAATGTTGTTGTCACCAGCATCATTCTTCGTGGCAAGAAGTCATTGTTGTTACTAGTAGTGATTAACTACTAGTGCTTAACGCCAAACCCCGCTCACTCTAACAACCAGGCACATGAAGACCATGCAATTCTCAGCATGAACAAAAAGCCTTTTTTTCACTGTTATGACCCGAGAGTAACCTAGGAACGAAAAGGGTGCCCTTGTCGGGGCTTATAAGGGAACCTAAACCCTAAAAAAGGGGGAATTTGGGCCTACTCTGGGTCCTACATATTATGAGGTCCTTAAATGCAGCAAGCCGGGAGCCCGACCGCGTTCTCATGAGCCTTGCTGCCGCCCTCCTTCTGCATGCCCACCCTTTGCGCAACAGTGCTTCAGCAGAAGTCATCGGACCCAAAACAGATGTGAAGAGTGCTGGGTTTAGAGGGTATGAAGTATACTTCTGTACTGGCTGACGTTCTGCTGCTAAATCAACAAGGAGGCTCTGGGATCAGCAACAAGCCCCAATTAGGGAAAAGAAGTAAGGGTTTAGGGCTGAGGGTTTAGGCTTAGGGTTTAGGGTTTAAGGTGTAGGCTTCCACTGAGTTCCCGCACTCCCCCAATCCCTATAATTAGGGCAGGTCTTAGCGACAAAAAGCTTGGCACCGCCTGGTTGCACGTTTGAATTGTCACGCAAAGGCCCTGCAGCCCTGAAACTGCTTCACAAACCCGCTGTCAAGGCTCATCGGTAGCTGCAAGTAGGGTTATGAGTACCATACTTATAATTAGTTCAGGTTATAATACGGCTTGCCTTACTCATAACCCTAAACCCTGGCACCCTCACCCTGGGAAGTCCAGATGACTTGGCTTCCTGAGGCGCCGGCGTCTGCTGAATCGAGGAAATCTGCTTCCCTGGACACCAACACAGTCCACCTACTTGAAGGTTCATGGGCGAGTAGAAGTAGGGTTTAGGGTTTAGGGGTTTAGGGTTTAGGGTTTAGGGCTTAGGGTATAGGGTATAGGGTTCAGGGCAAGTATAAGTAGGGTTATAAGTGAGGTAACCCTATGCCTATATCATGACCTTGATTGCGGTACTGAAAACCCTACTTAGAACTACCCATTGTTCAGGGAGTTTCGGGGCTCTTCATCCAAAACCCTAAGCCTTGCGGGTATCTTGGTAGCCCAGGAACCATATTATAATACGGGCACCCTTCTTTCGGTTGGTTCATAAGGGGACCTTCACCAAAACAGGGGAAAAGGGCACCACTGGGCTACAAAGGTATGGCGTTTCCAAGGCTTCTATGCAGCCGTTCCGTCTGGGTGGGCGCCTCTGGTCGCTACTTCCAGCTCTGGATATGGCAATCTTCCCACAACTAGGGGTATTCCATATGGGGTTTACGAGAGTTAGGGTTTAGGGTTTAGGTTTTAGGTTTAGGGTTTAGGGAGGGTTTAGGGTTTAGGGACTAGGGTATTCCATACGGGAGTTTACGAAAATAAGGGACCCCTAATAGAGTCCCCCGAATAATAGGATTCCCTGCTACTGAACCCCAAGAAGGTACTCCTTTCGGAAACCCCCGTATGTACCCCAAAACACGGCGGTACCCGGAGTCCAAGTTTGACTCCGTTGAAGTAGGAAAACAGCAACCGAACACCCTAACCGGCCTAGAACCCTTGCTTCCCAAGACCAGCGAACCTGCCCAACACGCGGCAAAAAGTCTTGAACCCGGAGCCCCCAAAGTCCCTAAACCCCGAACCCTCAAGTCCACAAGAGGCACTGAAGCCTGACACATACCTTTGCCTGTGGCCCTTAAAGTTCCGGACCAAGGAAACAACAGCCCGTCTCAATTGATGCAAGCCCTTGGGACTTTTGGGTTTCGGGTTTGGGGTTTAGGGTTTGGGGTTTCGGGTTTGGGTTGAAGGGCTTGGGGTTTGGGGTTTAGGATCTACAGGTCTGAACGTTCGTGGGTACTTATCACTAGGGTCACTAGGGCTCTTAAGTAAGGCAGAATGTACACCTTGACTGACAGATGTACTTATAACCCTACTTGTAACAACCCATTCACCCTTGCAAGTGGGTATGCATTCCACACACACACACAACCCCACATGCCCCTAGCAAACCCATCTCTGCCCTCAAACCTTATTGGGTAAAGAAAAGCTTGTCAACATACTTGGAACAAAACGACATCGCTCAGCAATCCCAGCAGGCTTAAGTTAAGGCATTCTCCCTCTAAGGCCCTATAGGCCCTAGACCCCAAAACGGCCAAAAAGCCATATGCCTGGTAATATGAGCCTACTATAGGGGCCTGAAGAATCATTGGAATAGAGTTTTGGGGGTGATTAGAGAAAACTTACAAAGGGACAAGAAGGGAATGCTATTGGTAACTCTTCCGACCCCTTTACTACCCCATCTGTTTTGCTTTCACCAAGGCCACCACGAAACCACTGCCGCTTCTGCTGCCGCCGAAGAGCCTGCAGTTCTGGCCCGTACCCAACAATTCATGTACGGCCGGCTAGGTGGCAAGCGAGGAGAACCGGAAAGATCTGCTTGTGTTTAAGGTGTGTCAAAATCGGGAACCTGGCCCTAAAGAGAAAGGATATCGGATGCCATGCTGTTACGCAGGCCTCCGTCCTCCTCCGCCGGATGGCCACGCCGATTTCCTGGCAGAGATGCATGCGGAAGGTGTCAGGAGGGTTTAGGGTTTAGGGTTTAGGGTTTAGGGTTTAGGGTTTAGGACACTGCTCAGTCGCTGCATGGTCAGCACAGTATGCCCACCAAGTCCCAGAGCAAACCCAAAGCTCCCAGAACCCCGTTGGGCTCCCTGTTTTGATATGGCCCCCTTGTCTTGAGAGCACCCTTCGTGTCTCCTCCCCTCCCTCGGATTAGTATCTTTCTCTTCCTCCTTACACACACACAGAGATACGCAGACAGACAAGACGGACAGACACACAGACACAGGTACAGGCACAGACAGAGGCACAGGCACAGGCACAGGCACCCAGACACACAGACACACACAGACACACAGACACACACAGACACACACAGACACACACACACACACACACACACCCACCCACCCACCCACCCACCCACCCACGCGCCCATGCGCACACGCGCACACGCGCACACGCGCACAGACACACAGAGACACACACAGACACACACAGACACACACAGACACACACACACACACACACACACAGACACACAGACACACACAGACACACACAGACACACACACACACACACACGCACACCACACCCACCCACCCACCACCACCCACCCACCCCAAACCCACCCACCCACCACGCGCCCCATGCGCACACGCGCACACGACGGCACACGCGCACACGCGCACACGCGCACGCGCACACACCGCACACGCGCACACGCGCACACGCGCACCACAGGCGCACAGACACACACACACACACACACACACACACACACACACACACACACACACACACACACACACACACACACACACACCCACACACACACACACACACCCACCCACCCACCCACCCACCCACCCACCCACGCACCCACGCACCCACGCACCCACGCGCACACGCGCACACGCGCACACGCGCACACGCACCCACGCGCACACGCGCACACGCGCACACGCGCGCTCACACGCGCGCTCACGCGCGCGCTCACGCGCGCGCTCACGCGCGCGCTCACGCGCGCGCTCACGCGCGCGCTCACGCGCGCGCTCACGCGCGCGCTCACGCGCGCGCACGCGCGCTCACGCGCGCACACGCGCGCCAGCGCACACGCGCGCACACGCGCGCACACGCGCGCACACGCGCACGCGCTCACACGCGCGCACACGAGCGCACACGCGCTCACACGCCTCACACGCGCACACGCACACGCGCTCACACGCGCGGCTCCACACGCGCGCACGCGCGCGCACACGCGCGCACACGCGCGCACGCGCGCGCACGCGCGCGCACGCGCGCGCGCACGCGCGCGCACGCGCGCACACGCGTGCACACGCGCGCACACGCGCACACACGCGCACACACGCGCACACACGCGCACACACGCGCACACACGCGCACACACACACACACAGACACACACACACAGACACACAGACACACAGACACACAGACACAGACACACAGACACAGACACACACACACACACACACACACGCACACACATGCACATACGCACAAACACACGAACACACAAACACACCAACACACAAACGCACTAAGCTGGACATTCGGCACGCTGCGAAAAAACTTAGCGGAACACGCCTTTTGTTCTTGACTTTGGCCGCTCAATTGCAAGAGGCCGCTCAGACACAGATTCGACTCCGACTCCGACTCAACTCTGACCTGCTCAGATCGGGCAACGCAGCAATGAAAGAATCACATAGAGGTAGGCAAACCCTGCCCGCGGGCGCTAGTCTGCTGGCCGGCCGCCACATTGCAGACCATCCACTTTCCGAGTATTCTCCGGAAAAGGACGAATTCAGCGGCAGGCTGTGTCTTCTGGGGCATTTTGCGCTTTAGGGTTTTGTCGGGCTTCAGGGTTTCCGGCTTAGGGGTTTTGGGGGGCCGCTCAAGTAAGAAGATGCGAAACCAAGGTCAGGGCGTGCCTCTTCACTGCTGCGACGGGGCCCCTCGGACACCCTGACGAAGGTCAACGAAGACTCATGGCTGAAGTTAATCATCTACGAAAACTGCAGCCCTCAAGGCAAAGCGTTATTGCTATTGATAGCCCCAGATCATCGTAAATCCGACGGGTGCGTCGAACTCCTAACTCAAGCCCAGCATGCTACTTTTTACAGCTATTGATGAGGCCCGAACCAGTGAAACTGAAGGAGCCAACTACTTACCACATCACTGTGCCAAGCGGCTAGAGCGTGAGGACTTCGTGCAGCGGAGCTCCCAGAGCTGAAACATCATTGGCCGGCGTGCCCTCGAGATGCCTGGGTCGATGCCTGGTTGCCAATGACAATGTGAAGTCCAGAAAGGCTCCAATGCACAAGAGCCACACGAATGCTCTCGGGGCCTAGAACGCCAAGCTTGGCAGCACCAGACTCCAGCAGGAAGATGTTCTGCATCGTCCCTGTAAGTCCTTGTACCACTCCGCACCCTTCAAATACGCAAGCAAGGAGCTTGATGTCACCATGGCACACCTTGTTCCTTAGCCACTCGGGCGTCGCTGCTCTATCAAAGATATGGACCATCCAGGGCGGGCATGAGATTGTTGCAGTTGTGTGCTGGCACGTTGATGACTTGTTGGTTGTGGGACCCAAGGCTAAAAGGGAGGTCTTTCTGAGCTTTGTCAAAAGCACTTGGGAGTGCTCTGAGTTTACGCACTCCGAAAACGAAACAGTGCAATATATTGTGGACTTGAAGTCGCTTCAAGCGAGAAAGGCCGACTAATCGGACAAGCGAAGTACATTGGAGAGTTGCTCGCTCGTCACACTGAGGTTGTTGGAACGTCCGGGTCTCCATGCACTAACTGAAAAGAACGCTTTGACGATCGTGAGTCAAGGGATGATGCGGTCAATCCTGATGATGTTCGGGCTGCGCGAACTTCTGTGGCTCACGGCGAGGGCTCGTCCTGAGTTGAGCTTCCCTGTGTACCGCATGTCCCAGTGGAGCACAAAACGCCCCAGGGACTCAGTCGTGATAGGCAAAGGTGTGTTGAAGCATCTTCGAGCTTCGCCGCAACAATGCCTGTTGTTTGGTCCTGCTGCTGACGACTGTGGAAGCATGCAACAGTACCCTAGGGCTGTTACTGCTTCAGCTTTGCAGGCGTATGCCGATGCGTCATTCGGGCCGCAGGTTCTGATAACATGGGCCGGCGGTGCCCCACTCCATTGGGAGTCAGGCCGGCAGACGCTGACCGCACTGCACAGCCCGAAGGCTGTGGCAAACCTTACTATTCCTAACTTCCCTTGCGCTGACCCTCCATCTTGGCCCCCGGCTCGACGCGGACGCCGATGTCGAGGGCCAGTTCACATCAGGCGATTGGGTTTAGGGTTTAGGGTTTAAGGGTTCAGGGTTCAGAGTTTAGGGCTTAAGAGTTAAGGGATTTTGTGGTATAAGGTTGGGCTGCTGGTTCCAGGGCTGAACAAAAAATTAGGGCACTACGGACAATCGGGGTTTTGGGCTTTTAGCGCATGGTTCTGGGCATCAGGGTTTCTACAGAACGCTCAAAGCCATCGAACTGCGGGGCCGGGCTAAACGAAACCCCTACGCCAAAGTGGGGGTTTTGGGGGGTTACGGGGGCAAGGGGGCCTTTTACTAAGGGATGTAATGAAACCGCAACAACGCAGGGGAAACTTAAAACCCCGAAAGGCCCAGCTAGTAACACTAGCACTGACACTAGCAATAACACTAACACTCACACTAACACTCACACTCACTGACACCAAGACTAACACTAACACAAACACGAACACGAACCCGAACACGAACACGAACACAAACACGAACACGAACACTAACACTAACACAACAACAAACCTATTGGAACCCTGTGTTTCATGAAGGGCCTCGACTGTCAAGGTACCATCGCCATTCACGTCAACCTGACCAAGGTTTTCGCATCAGGAAGCTCGGGTCCGGATCGAGGTCATGCTGGGTAATTACCAGCTAGATCTCTCGTGCCTTGCAGGGTTTAGGGTTTAGGGTTTAGGTTTAGGGTCCAGGCTCTTCATCAAAATGGGAATTTACGAAATAAGGGACCCCAAGTATACACCCTGGCAGAGGGGATGCCAGCGAAAAGATACCCGGTAAAACCATTTTATTCTGCCTGGCAGGTTGAGTCCGAAATGCGATTTCTTCTTCTCTTTACACTTCGAACCCTAACAGGGTTTAGGGTTTAGGGTCTCATTCATAACACCATAGCAGTCCCGATGGCAGGGATTGGGGGGGGGGGGGTGGATCCCAACTGGGGGTGACCAACTTGGTCGCCCAGTAACCATCTCATAATAATATGGGTACCCTGTTGGGGTTGGTTACTTTTATTCGGGAACCCAGAACCAAAAAAAGGGTAAAGGGCACCACTGGGCTACCAAGCCGAAAACAGCTAAAGATTGAACCCTAAACCCTAAACCCTAAACCCTAAACCCCTTCGAGAGCTTTCGACCACGCAGCTGCGGAGCGGGGCTTGGGCGTGGGACTGCTGCGCAAGAGCAGCTTCTAGTAACTTCAGGGCTGAGGGTCTCAACCAAGACCCCATGACACTAAACCCTGAACCCTAAACCCCTAAACCCCTAAACCCCCTAAACCCCTAAACCCCTAAACCCCTAAACCCCTAAACCCCTAAACCCCTAAACCCCTAAACCCCTAAACCCCTAAACCCCTAAACCCCCTAACCCCTAAACCCCTAAACCCTTAAACCCCTAAACCCCTAAACCCTAAACAACGAAGAGGCGAAGGCACCATGCCTCCTGAAAGAGTCGCTGGGCCAAGTCGGCAACAATCATTCGAAGCCTGGGTCGGTTAGCTCGAGGTTGTAGGGTTTAGGGTCTAGGGTTTAGGGTTTAGGGTTTAAATTTCGGTTTAGGGTTTAGGGTTTAGGGTTTAGGGTTTAGGGTTTAGGGTTTAGGGTTTGGGGTTTAGGGTTTAGGGTTTAGGGTTTAGGGTTTAGGGTTTAGGGTTTAGGGCTTAGGGTTTAGGGTTTAGGGTTTAGGGTTGGAGATGCCATCCAGCACCCATCAGCCCTAAACCATGGTTGCTCTTGGTGGTCTTTGCTCTGGCTGCATAGTCGGCGTCACCCCGGTTTGGTCCAAATCCCTAGCCCTTAAGAAGCTTCAGGGATTTGGGCTTGAGGACGAGACCAAAGACAAAATAGGATTGCACTTCTTCACCCTAAACACTAAACCCTAGACCCTAAACCCTAAACACCACACCCTAAACCCAAATGAGATATGAGCCGATGCAGAACTTTAAAGTCCGAAGCCGAAACAACAACAGGCTTTGTGATCAAGACTAGGCTGGGAAACCCTAGCCCAAACACCTAAATTCCCGAAACCCGAAGCACAAGCAACGCAACTGCCCTAAACCCTAAACCCTAAACCCTAAACCCTAAACCCTAAAACCTAAAACCTAAACAGGGATCCCTGACACCCTGACCCTGACTCACACCCTGCAAACTTTGAACCGCAAACCCAGGGTTTGGGGCTTTAGGCTAAAACCTTAGACATAGACCCGAACCCTAAACCCTAAAACCCGAATCCTTGGGATGTTCACCCTTTTTCTTGCTTAGGTATAATAGAGGGTACTACTCAGGACTGTTAGTAAAGGGAGAACATCCACCCCAAACCCTAAACCCTAACCCTAAACCCGAAAGCCTAAACCCTGAACCCTAAACCAAGCCCTTACATCCCCCCAAACCGTCTGCAAACTGGGTATCGAAGCACATCTTCCGGCACGCGCTCGTGACGAAACTCCTGCATCCGGCACGGCAGGCACATCCGACCAGGGGTTTAAGGAGACTTATGAGGGGTTTAGGGCTTAGGGTTTAGGGTTTAGGGTTTAGGGTTTGGGGTTGAGGGTGCGTATGAGGGGGTTTCCAAAAGCACTGGGGGGACCTTTTGAAGAGGCTCCTTCAAAAGGATTTTAACTTTGTATTTTGGGTATGTAAGGGGTACCCCTATCTTCGGAAATCCCCAAGGTGGCTGTGAACGTGTAGCTTTCAAGGTTGAGGGAGCTCAGGGCTGAGGGGTCTGGGGGTGGTACAGAGGGTTTAGGGGCGTAGGGGTTATAGGCCCTAAACCCTAAACCCTAAAACCTAAACCCTAAACCCCATTCGCAAGGTTGAAGTTTAGTAATAGGGATGAAGGTTTACGGTTTGGAGTTTAGGGTTTAGGCTTCGGAAAACCACGAAACAAGCAAGCGTTGCAAATTCAATTCAGGCACAACTCAAACATCGCGAAGCAGGATCGCAATGCTTTAAGTCCAACGATTCAGCAGATACACGATATATAAGTGAAGCAATGGGCTTCTTGGTGCTGGTCTGTCCGAAGCACTAAGTCAGTGGCTTCCTCCCTAAGGAATGAATGTCCACATCCGGCTGCTGTGCATCGCCAGCGCATCTGGCGCGCATCGCAGCGCGAAAACGACTTCGCGAGCACACATGGGCGCACCTTTCTGTGTTTAGGGTTTAGAGTGATGGCGCGTGTTTTTGCCCACGCCCTTGCTGCCGCGATGGGGATCCGCTGCGATGGGATCCGCTGCGGATGGCTTTCGTGACCCCTTCCTTGTTGTTCCGAGCCCTCCGCTGCATGTTTTGGGGTAGGGTCGAGGGTTGAGGGTTGAGGGTTTAGGCCATGCACCAGCACAATATGACCCTCCTCAACCCAATGTGGGGGAACACAATAAAATACCCCCCAAGGGGAATACCTAGAACTCCGACCCTACCCTAAACCCTAAACCCTAAACCCTAAACCCTAAACCCTAAACCCTAGGGCCCCTTACGACTAACCACCGGCCCTCTCACGAGACACACCCCCTTCAATGAGCAAACGTTCGCAAGACACCCCCAACTGGTCCCTAAAGCATTAGGTCCTTAGGTTGGCATGGCATGGTACCTGCACTGCATGTTGACGAATACAAAGCCTTCTGGCTGCGGTAGGTCCGTAGGTCCCCTGTTTTTTTTCGGGTTCCTGGTGGCAGCTGTGGTAGGGTCAGGCTTGCAGTCAAGCATTGAACACAACAGCTCCAAGAGAACCATGCGCCGTAACCTTTGGTGGAACACCGTAAACCCTAACCCCAAACCTTGGGATGTTCCCCCTTGGCCTAACAGTCCTTGACTAAGATTATAGTACCCCCTACTAAGCCCTACTATAACCCCTATCAAGGACTACTAGTATAAGGGAGAACATCCCAACCTAAACCCTAAACCCAAAAATCACATGTACCTACCCCAATTGTGAACCCATTTACAGAACAAGGGCGGCCATACCCCAAACGAACACTACCAGCGACCTTCAAGCACGGTCCTTGTACATGTCGATGTTCCGCATCCCCTGCGCACGAGAGAGCGGCTACTAATCAGGAACGGACCTTGCCAGGGCTGAGGGTTTGGGATCTTGGGTTTAGGTCACAGCAACTCTTCTGGCTTGGTTCCTCCACCCCCACCCCCCCCCCCCCCCCCAAAAAAAAAAAAAAAACAACTCCTAAATCAGCTTTCTTAAACCCCTAAACCCTAAGCCCTAGTCTTGAATTTAAACCTTTGTACCGGATGCTCCCCTAGTTTAGGGTTAAGGGCTTAGGTTTGCTTGGTGGCGGGGTGAGGGACCGCCCCAGTTGAAGAGTACAAACACCTGCGAGAAGCACAAAGCCACCATCATGCTGCTTCAATATGTCTCGGACAGGAGAGCCCTTGACCAGGGTTTCGGGTTTAGGGTTAGGGTTTCGGGTTTAGGCCAAAACCCTATACACGCGAAAAACAACGCACGTGAAAACCCTAAAGCCCTAAAAAGCCAACCCGCGAACCTATAGCCTGCGTCTGTATCTCTATGCTCTCAGCCGCAACCCTAAACCCTAAACCCTAAACCCTAAACCCCCAAATCCTTGGAACCGCCTGCCTCCACGAACTCTGAGATCGACAGCTCGCCACCTTGAAAACTTTCGTCTCGAGGGTCTCCGATTTCGGTACCGGGGTTGTGTTAGGGTTTAGGGTTCAGGTTTTAGGGTTTACGGTTTAGGGTTTCGGGTTTAGAGTTCAGGGTTTAGGGTTTAGGGTTAAGGGTTTAGAGTTTATGGTGTTATGCCCTGCTCTTCATATAACAAAGGGGCCTTAATAATTCGAACAGGGTTTTGGGGGGGTCATTATAATAATACAGGGACCAAAAGGAAATAATATTCGTAAATTTTCCGACCCCTATATTACACTGAGCACGCCGGTGGCCCCTGATGAATGCAAGGCACCTAAGGAGAACTTGAGCTTCTTTAGGAAACCCCAAAGACCGGCTAAGCCCCAAAACTCCGCAACTTAACGCACCGAACCTGAAACCCCCAAGCTTCTTAAGCCGATTTTAAGTGTGAGGCTTCCGAAATCTGAGATTTGAGCGTCCTCAGGGATTTTGGGCTTGTTCCCTGCAGTTCGGGTAAAGTTTTGGATTAGGGCAAGAGAGTAAACCCCAAACCCTGAACCTAAACGTCAGCACCTTCCGTACCTGCCATGGTCTAGAGAGGTCTGCTGAGTGTGCTGCTGTTGTCTTGGTCCATGGCCTCAAAGATCTTGGGCGAGAGGAAAAACTTCTCCTTCGCCAGGGTTTAGGGTTTAGGGTTTTTGAGAGCATTAGGGTTCCAGGATCTGCAGGGGAGGGGGGGAGGGGGGGAGGGGGGAAGGGAGGGAGGGGAGGGAAGGGAGAAGAAAGAGCGGCGATCATCGAGGAGTGACGATTCGGCGAAGGAACCCCAAAACAACGAAGAGCCTGACACCTTCAAAGACCCAACACGCCGCATAGACCCGCCTCCAGGCGCTGCATCACCACCTGCACAAGTACAGGAGCTCAAGCCTGCAGACCCTCGGGCGCCCCCTTTTAAGGAGCTCCCCGAGCCCTCCCCGAAATCAGGCCTCGTTGAATTCCGCCGCCTCAAATGCAAGTTGAGTGTCCTGTGCTGCGCGAAGGGCAGGACAACTTGACTGGAAACATGGTTGGAGATTCACTGAATTACTGGACCCTATAACCCTATACGCTAAACCCTATCACCCTAAACCATTCACCTAAACTACTAGACCCTATGACCCTGTAACCCTAAACCCTATGACCCTTTTGTTCGGTACGTCTGTGATCATAGGGAACCCTGAAAAGAAGACCGTCCTTGGGAACCATAAACCCTTCCAGGGTTCATTTAGCCCCCAAGGATCGTGTGGAACGCGGTCGGCTACTGAAAAGGCCCTGAAGCACTCCATGGCACATCTTCAGAGGGCAGGATCGACTGTTCGGTTTTAGGATTTGGGGCTTAGATTTTAGGGTTTCGGGCTTAGGGCTTAAGGGTTCAAGGGTTAGCCAGAGAGGGGGCAAAGCCCCGAAGCCCTAAACCCTAAAACACCCTAAACCCTAAATCCTACACCCCCCAAACCCCCCGGCTGGGAGGGACCCGAGCTGCCCGTCCTTGCCACGTGCCAGGCGTGAGGCGCGATCGATGAGCCCGGCACACACAGCACCTAGGGTTTGGGGTTTAGGGTTTAGGGCCTACAGTGTTTACAGGGTTTACAGTGCTTAGGAAGGTTTGGCGGGGTTGAGGGTTTCAGGATTATATAGGGCTCAGGGTGCACGAAGTACCTGCGAAGTACGTGTCGCATAAGAAGAGAGCAAAGCTCCACAGCAACCATCTCATAATAAGGGTACCCTTTTTTGGGTCGGTTACTTGATAAGGGAACCCGGAACCAAAAAAAGTGTAAAGGGTACTACTGGGCTACCTCGCAGTTCAGGGCTTGAGGTGTAGATTTCTGGGCTAGGTTGAGAGGTTCAGGGCTCCGGGTACCAGATCAGGCTCGTGGAAACCCTAACCCCTAACCCCTAACCCCTAACCCCTAACCCCTAACCCCTAACCCCTAACCCCTAACCCCTAACCCCTAACCCTAACCCCTAAACCCTAAACCCTAAACCCTAAACGCCGCTTCGGGTTCGAGGTGCAGGTTTTGGGGCTCGGCCTCACAGATGCAATCTTGCAGGGTGTTGCAGTGGGCCCACACACTTCCCTAGTACAAGCTGCCAAGATCGACTGAAGGGCAGGGCGAGCTGTAGATTTAGGGTTTTTTAGGGTGTTTAGGGCGTTTAGGGTGTTTAGGGTGTTTAGGGTTTTAGGGTCTTAGGGTCTTAGGATTTGGGGACCTTAAGCCCAATCCCTAAATCGTAGAGACAAGATGAACTCTTGGCCGCCCACCAGCATGAACAGCGCTCAAAGGCGGGAAGAGCTCCCCCTGCGTGGGACGCGCGGTTGAGGCTTCAGCTTAGGAATTGGGATAAACCCTAAACCCTAAATCCTAAACCCTAAACCCTAAACCCTAAACCCTAAACCCTAAACCCTATTAGGATTCAGGGGACCCAAAATCCCGCACCCAAACCCTAAACCCTGAATGGCCCGGGGCTCAGAGCAAGCTAGAACTCAAAACTGTCGAAGACAAATCCAACATACTCCAAACCCATACCCCTTAACCCGATATAGGGAGAATAAAAAGAAAAATCACTAAACTCGTCAATTTCTTTTAGGGGTATGCCCCAAGGGGTATGTCGAATATTCTTCGAAACTAATTATGCAAGCACGTGCCCAAAACACAGCAGATCAAACCCGCTATCGGCTATCTGCCTTTTGGAATGGTGGGCACAGCTTCTGCATGACCCGCGCGAAGCCGTTGATGGCTTCAATGCTGACGTCAAACAGGTACCTGCAGCTTTCTAAAAACCAAAGCCCTAAACCCTAAAGGCAAGAAGCCCAAGAAGAAACCCACGAAGAACCCAAGAGAAACCAAAGAGAAACCCAAGAGAAACTCATGATAACCCAAGAGAACCCAAGAGAAACCCAAGAAGAAAAAACATGATAAACTCAAGAAGAAACCCAAGAAGCAACAAAGCGAACCGCAAGAAAGTCAACAACAAAAATGTTCAACCTCCCAGGTGCTTTGGGGGGTCTTGTACTTGGAGTTGCAGGGGTAGTTGTAAGTAGGGTTAGGGTTTAGGGTTTTGGGTTTAGGGTTCATGGGTATTTGTAAACCTACCCTAGTTGCTGAGCACACCTGGCCAGCAAAGGTGCAGCTTTCAATTCTTGTAGGCATACATATATATATATATACAAATATATATATATATATATATATATATATATACATTTCTCTTATACCTGAAATGGTTAAAGGCTACCTACCCAGCTACCAAGCTGGCGTTCGACCCGCCATCTCCCGAGTCGGCAGGGTTTTGTTTTTTTTTTTTTTTTTTTTTTTTTTTTCTGTAGGGTTTGGGCTTTGGGGTTTAGGGTTTAGGGTTTAGGGTTTATCAAGGGACTAAAGGGTGGACCCTAGGGGTGGTTTAGGTTACGGTTCCAGGGGTCCCTTCCAGGGGTCCCCTTTTTCCCCTTAAGTTCTAACCCTAAAACCTAAAACCTAAACCCTCAACCCTACACCCTATTTTGGGGTTTGGGTTTTGGGGTTGGGGGCACTGAAGCAAATAGCAGAACATGAGGATGTCGTTCGGCTCCTGGACCATTCAGGCTTATGGACAATTAGGGTTTGGGTTTAGGGTTTAGGGTTTGGGGTTTGGGGTTTGGGGTTTGGGGTTTGGGGTTTGGGGTTTGGGGTTTGGGGTTTGGGGTTTGGGGTTTGGGGTTTAGGGTTTGGGGTTTTGCTTTCGACTGTGTTCGGGACGCTGGCTGAGCGCAGCAGCTTTCTGCACCCTGTCTGTGATCAGTGACTGAGATGAACTCTTCTTCGGTAGCCTCCGGCTCCAGGTGCCATTGTGCAAGATATCTTCCGGGCATGAGGGTTTAGGGTTTGGGTGTAGGATTTAGGGAGAGAGGTCTGCCCAGTCACCGCCATTGCAGCTGCAATGACTATCGGACTTTCGTGACCATCGATGCCTCAATGCACAGCGCAGCAAGAACAAACAGCTCATGTTGACATTTCTTGAGCCACTAGTTTAGCCAAGACCGAAAGGCAAAGGGTTTACGGAGCCCGGAGAAGCCAGATCTACAAGGAATGCTTGAGAAAATCATCTCCAATCCCCTATGCCCCGGTTCCACCCCGCAACAGGCGTCCTCTTCCGTTGGATCTGCAAAGCTCTTGTCATAGAGGAGGCGCGCAGCAACTATGTAGCCTTCAGCACAGGACCAGAAACTCATCCGCTGCAGTAGACTCAATCTTACCGTGCAGCACACTAAAGGGCCCCTAGCTGTTGGGCTTAAGGCCCCGAAGCCCTGAAAAGTCTTGGGCCAGTTTCATGGGCCCTTAATATGGTCCCTAACCTCCTGTAGAGGCTTCTGATGTATGGGACCTTTAATTCGGATGGGGTATATCCCTAAACCCTAAACCCCTAGACCCTAAACCCTAAACCCTCATTGAAGCCCTCAACCCTGGAGAACTGCGCAAGCGATTCGGTTGAGAGCCAGCCTTCACGGATATCAAGGAGCAAGTCTCGGCGGACCAGATCCCAAACCTCGGGCTCGACTTAGGGTTTTGGTTTAGGGTTGAGGGTTGAGGGTTTAGGGTTTAGGGTTCAGGGTTTAGGGCTAGGACTTGGGCTTACATCCCCTACCACGCTGTAGGGGACTCTACGCAATAAGGTATCGAAGGCCCGCCTCCCTGCTCGGAACCCGAAGCCGCTGGGTTCGCTAGGGCTGCGGGCTTCGGGTTCATGTCTGCCATTTGTCTATGATACTCTTGCAGCTCCTGATGGTGTATACTATTCGACTTGTTGATTTTGCATATTTCTTGAATACCCTTTTTTGCTATATATATATATATATGTATATATATATATATATACACATCACGGTCGGATGGATATTTCAATTACTTTCATCTGATAGTGACAGGGTACAAGAATATGAATGTACTTTCTCCCAGCAATAATGTGTGGAGTGCTCATCTTTCTTCGTTCAAATAGACTTGCACCGCGAAAGACCTGCTTCTGGACTCTGCTTGGAAGCGAATTGTGACATGCAAATCAAATCAAGAGAGATCTAAAATTTGCAGAACCCCGATGAACGGGGGGGGGGGGGGGATTCCATCCGAGGAGCTATTGAAGAACGTACTCGAACTTGCATGGATCTAATGCCGAAACAAGAACCCGACTGAAATCAATCAGAACCCACTTGAAGATGGCCGGAATCTTCTTAAGCGTGAGCAGCTATACCTGTCCCATTTGGGTGATGTTCTTCATCCTGGCTTTCATCCTGGTTCTTCAGCTTGGCTCTTATCTGATTCTTGCTAGTACAACATAATGTTTATGACTACTACGGAACAATTCCAAGCTAACTCTGAACACTAAGCCTGAAACCCTAAACCCGAAACCCTAAACCCTAAACCCTAAACCCTACACCACAATTTGGGACACCGATGCTCCAAGCTCCAGACGTCCACGGGCCGCCGGCTGATCCTTGATATTGGTTCAAGGGGTTTAGGGTTGTGGGTTAGGGTTTAGGGTTGAGGGTTTAGGGTTTAGGGTTTAGGGTTTAGGGTTTAGGATTTAGGGTTTAGGGTTTAGGGTTTAGGGTTAGGGTTTAGGGTTTAGGGTTTAGGGTTTGGGGTTTGGGGTTTGGGGTTTGGAGTTTAGGGTTTAGGGTTAGGGTTTAGGGTTTAGGGTTTAGGGTTTAGGGTTTAAGAGTTGGGGGGTTTGGGGGTTTAGGGGGTTTGGGGGGTTTAGGGAGTTTGGGGGTTTAGGGGGTTTAGGGGGTTTGGGGGGTTCAGCGGGTTCAGGGGGTTTAGGGCGTTTAGGGGGTTTGCAGCAGGGTTTAGGGGGTTTAGGGTCTATGGAATAGACGTTTTGGGCCCATGCAGCCCACACTTTGCCGTCAATCACCTACATTCTAGGCCCAAACATAGCACGGCTACCCCTAAACCCTAAACCCTAAACCTTAAACAGCTAGGTTGTTCTGTACTTGCGAACTCTCCCAGAATGCGGAGCCGCACATCATGCGAGCACTTCCTGCCACGGAGCATCGCACCACCGAAGCTCAACAGTAGGGTTTGGGGTTTAGGGTTGAGGGTTTGGGGTTTAGGGTGTATAGGGTCAAATTTTAGAGGGCCTAAGGAGCTTCATGAGTGCAAGTGCGGTCAAAAAGGCAAGATTGTTCACCCAAAGACTCAAAGATACCGCAATAGAACTGGGACTCGAGCTTACCCTAAACCCTAAACCCTAAACCCTCAACCCTACACCTTACACCCTACACCCTAAACCCTAAACCCTAAACCCTAAACCCCAAGCAAAGGCCGCGGCCCCCATCTGTACTCTGCTGATGGCCGGTGGTTGTCGATGAAGCCCTTCTTCTCCAGACTATCCTCATAAAGTGCGACGTAGCTTAACGGTTTAGGATTCAGGGTTCAGGGTTCAGGGTTTAGGATTCAGGGTTTAGGGTTTATGGTTCTTGGGAGCCCAGGAGCCATGTTATAATAAGGGCACCCTTCTTTCGCTTGGTTACTTGATAACGGAACCTTGAACCAAAAAGAAGGGTAAACGTGTATCACTGGGCTACCAAGGGTTTAGGGTCCTCACAAAGAGCCGCGCTCCCTTTAATGTTTCAGGGCTGAGGAGTTCGGAGGAGTTCGGGGGTCTTGGGAATTTCAGTCGAGGGTTTCAGGTTTTTTTGGGCTCAAGCTCCCCTAGGCGCTAGGGTTTAGGGGTTAGGGTGTAGGATTTAGGGTCGAACTGGGGTAGTTACATGGTCCCTTACTCTCAACCCTAAATCCCTACAAAACCCTAGAGCCCTAGAGACCTCACACCAAGAAACCCTGCACGTGCGACACTTCTTCGAACAAAGGCACCTTGGGATTGGAAACCCAGATTCAGGGTTTAGGGTTTAGGGTTCAGGGGGTTTAAGAGTTTAGGGTTTAGGGTTTAGGGTTCAGGGGGCGCCATGGCACCAGGGCCTTTTATTGGGTTACTCATTTCTCCCCTAAACCCTAATAACCCATAACCCTAAACCCTAAACCCTAAACCCTAAACCCTAAACCCTAAACCCTGTACCAGGAAAGAAAAACTGGATCCCCAATAAGAATCCTGGGGCCGCGGGCCCAAATCGGGGCCTCGCCAAGGGAGTGCGGCAGCCGCATGTCCCGAAACCTTCGTCGGCTTGGAGGGTTCTTGGGTTTAGGGTTTAGGGTTGAGGGTTTAGGGTTTAGGGCTAGTGGAGGGTTTAGGCCCTTGGGTTTAGGGTTTAGGGTTGACGGTTGAGGGTGGAGGGTTTAGGGTTTAGGGCTAGCAGAGCGTTCAGGCTCGTGGGTTTCGGGTTTAGGGTTGAGGGTTGACGGCTTAGGATGGGGTTCGGGGTTCATCTACAGGACTAGACCCGAGAGTAACCTGGGAGTTAAATAAGGGGAGTCTGGGGTTTAGGGTTTGGGGTTTGGGGTTTGGGGTAGGGTTTAGGGCCTACAGTAGCAAGCTTTCTACATTTCCGGGCCAATCCGGGGGGCCGTAAACCCAGAAGCCGAACAAGTCACAAGTGCCCTGATATGTCATAAGTTGCCTTATATACTTACAACCCTACTTACAACTACCTTAAAAGCCCTACAGTAATCCCAAAGTATAACCCGAAACAAAGATGTTCCCCCTTTCACCAACAGTCCTTAACCGGGATTATAATAGGGGGGCGCACTATACTGTAACCCCTAATTGAGGAGCTGTTAGTTTAAGGAGGAATATCCCAAAGTATTGCCCCAAACAAAGATGTTGAGGGAGTCTGACCCTAAACCCTAAACCCCAAACCCTAAACTCTAAACCCTAAACCCAAAACCCTGACGTGGGCCGCATGCGATTCTGCAACAAACCGGGCTTCCGGGGAAGCCGGAGGATGCCGGAGGCATGTCTGCTGGTAGCAGTAATTGGGGTTTGGGGTTTAGGGTTTAGGGTTTGGGGTTTAGGGTTTAGGACATCACAGGCATCCGAGAATGCCAGCGCCGCCCAGTGACGAGCGGCACGCACGGAAAAACCTCTCAAACTCCAACAAGTGACACATCAAGTTGTCCACTGCAAGCGGTGCAAATCTTCGAATTGGGGTTTAGGGTTTAGGGTTTAGGGTTTGGGCTTTGGGGTTTGGGGTTTGGGTTTTGGGGTTTGGGGTTCAACGGTATCCAGAGATTCGGCTAACTTGACCCAGTGCACTATGAGTCAAGCACAGGCACGGCCGACCGAAGCCACTCAGCCCCACCAAGTACCTCGTAAGACACCCCGACGATCCCCCTGAAGGTAAACCCTGAACCCTGAACCCTAAACCCTAAACCCTCAACCCTAAACCCTGAACCCTAAACCCTAAACCCTAAACCCAATGCCGGCAACCTTAAGGGTCTGGTTTTAAGGGGTATTCAGGGGTGGGAATCACCACGCCCTCAACCCTTAACCCTCAACAGCCAAGAAGCATCGAGTCGGTATAGGGCACCTTGCTTGAGTCCAAATGCAGTTTCGCGAGTTTAGGGTTTAGGGTTTAGGGTTTAGGGTTTAGGGTTTAGGGTTTAGGGTTTAGGGTTTAGGGCAGCCAGGAAGCCCAGGAAGGGATTATCCTGAATTCTCGATTCTACAAATCCTGCATCAAAGGTCCTTCTGCCCCTAGCCCGTCAGACGGGGCAGGCTGTGCCCTACAGACTGAAATTCGTCAGCCAAAGACCGTGCAAACCCTGCAAGGAAAGGCCATGGTATGGTTGACCCTAAACCCGAAACCCTAGAACTGGAGGAGCAAAGCCGGACATTGTCTGCAAGACGTGGGGCTGTTAGTAAGGCTGATGCGAAGCTTGGGAATGTTCACTGGTGGGAGGGGCTTGTAGACTGTGGAGGCCTCAGGGGCTCCAGGCCTAAACCCTAAACCCTAAACCCCATTCGCCAAGCTACATAGTAGTCCAGAAAATGGTCCATGGGCGCGAGGCCTTTCGAGGTTTAGAGTTGAGGGTTTAGGGTTGAGGGTTTAGGGCTTAGGGTTTAAGAATTCTTAAGGGAAGTTGTATGCATAATATGGCTCCTTGCCTTCTTTCAAGGATTCTGAAGGAATGTTAGGGCCCATGTAAGTACCAAGATTAATACGTAGATTCGAGTCTATGGACGTATCTGGGGTGTAAGGTGGTATGCATGGGTGTATAACCTGTCTAGCTTGAGAAGCTGTTACAAGCATTTACACGGAACTAGGTTCTCATAGGGTCTTGGCTACATTGTATAAACACAGTCAACATACACGTTTTCATCTGTAGGGTTAAGGCTCCCCCCCTGGTTCTGAGTAGGGCATGAAGGAATGAGGGATCAAGGGTCCCAGATATACCCTTTGAGGTAGTATATAAGTACCTCAATCCCTCATTCCATAAGAAGAATCAGCCAGTGCGGGGTGGGGGCTGCTTCTCCGAAGATGCCTACTTCAAGCTGACGACCTGACACATGAATCAAAGCTTCAAGTCCTAGAGCCCTTCAACCCTGAATTTTAGGCTACGCCCTACGGGATTTGCATGCCGATCCGAACCCCCAAGCACTCTACATGCCTATGACTGCAAAGCCTGAAGCCCAACTCTTCCACTATTCTGCCCATGTAAGCCGGAAGCCCTAAACCTCAAAAATTCCACGCGCAGCTCAAGGACCTGCCTTTTCGAATCTGGAGGTCATATGGAACAGCAACGCTCCCTTCTTGAAGTGTCCAGTGGTGGACATCAATCCTTGCTCGGCCGTAAACCCTAAACCCTAAACCCGAAACCCGAAACCCTAAACCCTAATCGAAGGTTGCAGCTGCTAAGCCCATGTCGCGGAATCTGGGGGGGGGGGGGGGGTTTCCGAGATTCGGGGTACCTTATTGGGGCTTCGGGTTTAGGGGTACCTTGTTGGGGTCCTTATTATAAGGGAATCCTACTATTTGGGGTCTATATTCGGGGTCCCCTATTCTCGTAAACTCCCATATAGCTTCATAGCTTCATTTAAAACAAGAACTGCAGCCCAAAGTTGTGGTCCACTGGCCTTTAATCCCTAAGCCCTGGGCCCTAAAACCCTGAGATCAGCAAGCAAATGCCTGCTGGGGAGCTTCCGTGCTAGCTAACAAGGCCAGCTGAACCATCAATGACACGGACAATTTGGGATGTTCCCCCTTATACCAACAGTCCTTGATAAGGATAATGGAACCCCCGATGATAATCCCTACTAAGGACGGCTAGTATAAGGGGGAACATCCCAAGGGACAGTGCCACACAGTGCCAAGGTTCAGGGTTTAGGGTTTATTGTGATCTGGCATCTTACTCCTCCAATGGATAAACTTTACCCTAAACCCTAAACCCTAAACCCTAAACCCTAAACCCTAAACCCTAAACCCTTAAACCCTAAACCCTAAATTGTTCCTACTAAACAAGGAAACCCAACAAGTTTAGAGTTCAACTGTTGGCTAAGTAATGCATGGCTGCATAGGGCTATCAGCCGGGCATCTGGTCGCGCATGTAGAGGTCGCATAGGACGGCACTGCACAGGATGTGGCCTCAGCAGGAGGGTTTAGGGTTTAGGGTTTAGGGCTTAGGGCTTAGGGTTTACGAGCCCAAACTCCGAAAAAAACGACCCCAAAAGCTCTAAACAACTGAGCGTAAGCAGCTACCAATGTTATCTTCTGAAAGTGGCCCCTACATTACAGCCTTTAACTCATCTTGGACCCACCAGATGAAGAGACAGCGGCGTCATGGAGGAAAACTTCCAGAAGAGGCTCTTCTGCCTTATGTTACTTGTTAACCAATTACAACTGTACTTATAGCTGCACCTTTAAGGGGGGCATGTTAGGGCACTGAAGGGGCTTGTAAGTGGGTTGCAAGTACAGCTATCATTGGTTAATAGCTACCACGCACCTCCAAGGAGCTCCAAGTAGCTCTTTGGTGGGCTTGAGGGTTTCGGGTGTCGGGTTTCGGGCTTGAAAAAAGGGTAAAAGGGTGTCACCGGCTAGAGCTAGGCCGAAAATTGTGGAACCAGCTTCTTGGGCGTGCCTCATACTTGAAGGTTCATGGGCGCTTGGAGGTTCAGGCGACCACAATCTGAAAGTCCCGGGGGCACCCAGCAAGCCACCCCGCCCCCCCGCCCCCCCGCCCCCCCGCCCCCCCCACCCCCCCCCCCCCCCCCCCCCTCCCCCCCCCCCCCCCCCCCCCCTCCCCCCCCCCCCCCCCCCCCCCTCCCCCCCCCCCCCCCCCCCCCTCACCGGGTTAAAAATTATCATGAGTGCACCTCTGCGGATGTGTCACAAGAAACGCCCCAACCCTTGCAGTAGCTTACCCTAAACCCTAAACTCTAAACCCCAAACCCTAAAACCTAAACCCTAAACCTTACAGCAGCTAAGGAGACTGCCGTCGCCATAGTATCTGCAAACGCGCTGGCCAACCACGGAATGCTGCCAGTCCTCCCATAACCCTAAACCCTAAACCCTAAACCTAAACCCTAAACCCTAAACCCGAAAGGGTTGGGAGCCACCAGAACCATCAAACGACCCTGTAATACAGGGGGGCGGAAGAACTACTAGTAGTATTCCCGGAAAGGGCCCCTGGATAATTACGCGATAAGAGCTCCCAAGACCCTGTTCTAATTATTAAGGTCCTACAGTATCCTGCTGTTGTTGCTGCTGTCGGTCCTGTCTCCGGGAAGAAGTGCTGATAAGCAGGCCCCGGAGAAGAACATAAGCTTCCTTGGAGCACATGCTGTTTTTTTTTGTGGTGGGGGGGGGGGAGGGGGGGTATCGAATTTAGTAAGGAGAACCTAAACCCTAAACCCTAAACCCCAAACCCCAAGCCCCAAACTAAACCCGAGGTTTAAGACTCTAGGGAGTTCCTAGATGTAGTGGGGGCCTTAGTAGTTAGAATAGGGTTTTGAGGGTTGTGATAATAGAAATATAACAGGAACCATGAGGCAGTGAAGCCTTTGACGGTTTTGGGTTTAGGGTTTGGGGTCTAGGGTTCAGGGTTTAGGGCTTCAAATCCCCGACAAAACCTGCATGAGTCGGAGTCAGGTTCTGGTCGCCAACTCTGTGAGGTTCTGCGCTACAGGACATGCATGAGTCGGGCTCTGCCCTACAGCAGCACTGGCCCTAAACCCTAAACCATGTACCCTAAACCCCAAACCCTAAACCCTGGCGCCACGCTTTCACGCTTGTGCTTTTTTCTGAGGGGCGCGGGCCAAGGCCTTACCGCCTACAGGTAGAGTCCATCTGCGGCGTCAGCAAAATCAAGCAATTTGGTCTTCCTCTGTTCGGAGAAACCCCGAAGCGCCTGGATGCCGAGAGCACAACCCTAAACCCTAAACCCTAAACCCTAAACCCGAAACCCGCAAGCCTTTAGCTGGATGACGTTCTCCCAGAGTCTGGGCTTCGAGGGCGAAGAAGAGAAAGGCTTGCAAAACGAGCTTGCCACCCGCCGCAACGAAAGCTCTAAAACCTTGAAACACATTGTTGATTAATTAAACCATACTAAGTAAAGCCTAAAGCACCTACATGACCCTAAAATCCTGTCAGACCTTAGAGCCTTCTCCCTAAATCCTAAACCCTAAACTACAGCCTGAATGTGGCCCCAGCGAGTGCAACTGGGCTTAAGTTCTGCGGGGGCAGGCTAGGTCAGTGGGGCAAAGTTGAGTGAGCCCCTCTCGCATGGAGTCTCCCAAGGAGGCATGATAGGCTCTCTACATTATGGTCCCTGGGTTTAGGGTTTAAGGTTTAGGGTTTAGGGTTTAGGGTTTAGGGTTTGGGGATCCTGGTATCATACGGAGCTTTATATCCTGGGTACCCAGAAAGGGACCATAACTTAGAGAACCCACGTGGCATCTAATTCCTTGAAAGGGGTCGCTTGAGTGAAAAACGCGAGTGCGGGGGCATGGTCGGCGCGGTGCCAGGCACTCGACCGGTTGAAAGTCGCCGATCGTTTGGCACGGCGAAACCCTCAAGCGCCCGAGGCATAAACTGGGATGGCCCTTAAAACCGGGTGAAAATTATTTGCGACTATGATGCTCTTAAACCCACGAAGGGGAAATGTAACATGTCTCACGGGCCTACCAAGTAAAGCCTCTGGAGATGTAGGGAGGTCAAACTCCTCCCGAACCTGGGCAGAGATAAGCCATCTTGGCATCAACCTGCATGGCCTTGAAAGGCTGGACAGCGCATCCACGTGCCAGATCAGAGCGACTGGTCGACCATTTCCCAAAAGGAGCTCGTACCCCAAGTATACCCTAAACCCTAAACCCTGGAATCCTTGCTATTTCTGGAGCCCCCCAACCCGATGTCAGGCAATGAGATTCTTCCTGCGCAGCAGGCCAGATCCGGCTCCTCTGGCCACTATCAAGGGTTTAAGGTTTAGGGTTTAGGGTTTAGGGTTTCGAGTTTAGGGTTTAGGTACACCCCCAAGAAGGGAACTACAACTGGGAATTTTTTGGTAATCGCAAAATCCGGCAAAAAATTGCTCTTTGTCATGATGATTCACAACGAACTCGTGGCCAGAAGAAGCACAGTGGATGCGGACATCGCTATCTCAAAGCTCAGTCTTACAGTGCTCGATGGTTCATGGGTAGTCATAAGTACCTTACTTTAGGGTTATCAGACAGGTTGTAGTCCTACTGATCGCTACCCATGAACCTTCAAGTAGGGACCAAAAATGGACCGACATTCGGAAGAAAACACCCTAAGAACTTCTGAGCCCCAATTCCATGTGCGGTTGAGAACGGTGAGCGTGCAGCATGATACGCGAACTCTCGGACTTGATGTGAAACTAAAGAATACTGGTTCTGAACAAAAAGGACTGGATATGCTTTCCCCGTGGATTCTTTACTAAGTTTGTGATCTCATGGCTAGTTTTGAAAAGTTCGGTCCCTTTTCTGGGCACGACACGTGTACTACAAACGGCCGTATTTTCATAGGGCTCGCCTTATCGAAAAAATACCCAACGCGGCAGGCAGCCGAGAAGACATGGCCACTGATCAACCAGTCGTACTAGTGGCGTACTAGTGTGTCTTCTTTTTGGCAACAGGGTTGTTCAACATCAGGGTCCTCTGATACCGATACCCCCAAACATCCCCCAGGCCTTATGGGTCCTAACCATTCTGATCGAACTGCCAAAAAAAGGTTTGGACCCTGGTTTACATCGAACAACCCGCATCCACCCTGACCCATGAAAACCCTGGCAGGCATTCCCATGGGGCTTTAGCCATGGTTCGGACTGTGTGTCCTGCTTGGAGGATCGGGGGGCTTCGTAAGTAGGTACAAAGTTGAGTTACACGTGGCCTGAGGGCGTCAATATCCCCACTTCGTAACTAACTCAGTCCCCCGATCCTCCAAGTGATGAGCGCCAGTTGGAAGTGGGAGCACTCGGATCGCAAGTTTTGGCTTAGAACGGCCATCATCCCCTGCGGCGCATGATCCCCGTGCAAACTGGAGGACAACCTACAATTCTCTGGCTTATGGTCCCTTTCTTGATACCCAAATAAGAGGCTCCCCTAAACCCCATAAACCCTACACCCGCATAAAGGTGACAATCATGAAGAGAACTGTCCAGATCCCTTCGGGATTTAGGAACCCTAAACCCTAAACCCTAAACCCTTATAACCCTAAATCCTAAACCCTAAACCCTAAACCGTTTAGGCCTCAACACTGAAAGGAAAATCGGCCCGGTGCTGGCGGAGTGGACTGAGATGTGCGACTTGAGGAGCGGCTCCGAATCGATTTTTGTTTAGGGTTTAGGGTTTAGGGTCTAGGGTTTAGGGTTTAGGGTTTAGGGCTAGCATCCAGGGAACACGCTTTAAATGGCCGGAGAACACCGGAAAACTGCTCAGCAGCATCTTGCGGCCAAGAAGTCCCACAGTTTAAGCCCTAAACCTAAAATCCTGCACCATAAAACTGTAAACTGCCTCTCCATAGAGTGCATGTGGGTAGTTTCCACAATTAGGTTCGCTTTTCGGAACCCATTTTTAAGGTGCCACCTGAAATCGGCACCCACAAAAAACCATCATCCCTAGTTTGGTGTGGACCCTGGAAAAAAGTATGTGCTGTGTAGGTATAAGTAGCTGCAACAGGAACCCAGAACCAAAAAAGGTATGAAAGTATAGTACTCCAAAACCCAGTACATTTAGAACTACCCATTTCGTTCAGCCTTCGGGATCGCACAGATGGTTGCCGGTGGGCTTGAAAGGTTCAGCTCGGTGGTTTAGGGGCTTGGGGGTTTAGGGCTTAGGGTTTCGGGTTTAGGGGGAGCACGATTTCTTTGCTCAAAGCGGCCCGACAACGATTCGTGCCGGAGGGCATCTGAACGATGCTGGCTTCCTAGCCTTCGCAAGAGTGCTGTGATTCATTGGTAGCACGCCACGCTGCTGTGCCGCATGACGGACTCATTGGAGCACGATCGTAGGCTCACAAGGGGTCCCTCCCCACAAAAGATCCCCAGAATAAGGGTCTACTTACCAAGGACTATTTAAGGGATGGCAAAACCTGTTCTGTTCATGATTAAAGCCAACTCGAGCTAATGACGGTTTTCGTCAACCCTTTCAATCTGGGGAGTTCTGGGGCTCATCCTGTGATTTTTGGCCTTTATGACCTCGGGAGAAGCTCTCTGCACCACTGGCTCTTAGTAGACAATGGCTAAACATGGAAATTCCCCAAACTCTCTCGCTGGTTCTGGGTGTAACCCACAATGGTTATGTAAATAGAGCCACAACAATACTCTTGAAAGAAAGGACTAACCCATGAAGCTCGAGCTGCATGGTCCCGGGATAGCCAAGCCACACAGACCACAGCGCAAGCCCTAAACCCTAAAACCTAAACCCTAAACCTGAAGCCGCCTTAACCCTAAACCCTAAACCCTAAACACTAAACACCGAAGATCGATCCCTAAACCCTGAACCCATGCCGTGCAGAGAGCTCCATGGCATGTGCCACCATTGTGTAGAACAAGTCTTCACACAACGATTCCGAGCTTCCGTCTTCAAAGTTTGGAAGCTATGTCTGTTTGTAGCATCAGATAACAGGCATTCAGCGATGACAAGATAGGTTTGGAGCATAAGATATCATGCATTTAGAAATGTCAAGATAGGTCGGCACGTAGGTTTAGGTTCTTTATAGAAAACAGATGATGATAGAATATTGTTTGCACGTGTATGCAAAGTATATACATACATATATGCATGGATATATTAAATGTCTTTACATAAATACATGCGTGTGTAAAGAAATATATGGAGATAGATGGATAGATAGATAGATAGTCGGTCCTATTAAACATCAAGCCGGCCTCTGTAAGCCCTGCGCCCTCAATTGACTCGCCCAGGTTGCAAGATGCGAGCTCGATCTTCATCGAGAAGTTCCTCAAATACTCTTGGAACGACTAGGGAGGTTTAGGGTTGAGGGTTTAGGGTTTAGGGTTGAGGGTTTAGGCAGGGTTTAGGGTTTAGGGTTTAGGGTACAGCATCCGGGCTTCAGCGGATAAACTCGCAAACAAAAAAGCTATGCTCAGGAGCAGAACTGGTATCCCCTGCTTGGGAGTAGACCCTGAAAAAAAGTATCTACTTTTAGGGTATAAGTAGCTATAATAGGAACCCAGAACCAAAAAGCATATCAAAGCATAGTACTCCAACCCAGCATCGACGTCCGTGCGCACATGACCTTCGAGGCACGCCACGGCGAAGGCGCGCACGAAGGAGTTGTTCTTGGCCATGAGCTGAAGCTCGTCCTGCTGTGCCTGCCTTAGTTCAGGGTTCAGAGTTCAGGGTTTAGGGTTTCATGATGTTACTTCGAACATCCCCACCTTGCTCCTCGGTAAAAGGAAAGAGCGCAAATAAGATGTTCAAACAAATTCAAATACGCTTTCTTAGTTTTTGCTTGCAAACGGGGTTGGGGAATTCAGGGAGTCTCGGGGGCTGGGCACTCCAGGAATCTCTGGGGTTGGGCGCTCTAGGGAGTCTCTGGGTTGGGCACTCCAGGCAGTCTCTGGCGTTGGGCAATGCAGGGAGTGTCTGGGGTTGGGCACTCCAGAGAGTCTCTTGGGTTGGGCATTTCAGGTTTGGACACTGCAGGAGTCTTTCAAATGGGCACCCCAGGAGTCTCAGCAAGTTTCTGAGATTCGGCACTGGGCAGGCTCTGGGGTTGGGCACTCCTGGGAGACTCTGGGCACTCCAGGGAGTGTCTGGGAAGGAAGACTTGTCGGGCACTCCCGGGAGTCTCTACTCCAGGGAGACTCTACGGTTGGGTCTGGGGTTGGGCGTCTCTGAACTTGGGCAATCCAGGAGGACTCTGGGGTTGGGCACTCCAGGACTCTCTGGGTTGGGCACTGAGTCTCTGGGGTTGGGCACTCCAGGGAGGGCTGGGCACTCCAGGCGAGGAGAAGAGTTGAGTTTAAAATCTAACAGCCCCACACCGAAGGTGGGGAATAAGGGCACCCCTTTGGGTTGGCTACTCTATAAGGGAACCCAGAACCAAAAAACAAAGGGAAAAGGATACCACCGGAATACCAAGCTGCATGTCCTCTTGGCTCTCCCCTAAGAGCTGTAACACCTGGAGGTTTCCAAAAAAGAAAAAGACGGCCCAACCCTAAGCCCCTAAGCCCCTAAACCCCTAAACCCCTAAGCCCCTAAACCCCTCAACCCCTAAACCTGGGGGTTTCCGACAGTACCGTTTTGGGGTCCTCATTATAAGGGGATCCTACTATTTGGGGGTCCCCTATTTCCGTAAACCCCCGCCTGGGACTTCAACTTGTCACGCGTCTGCTTCCGTGCACGCTTCTTTGCCGCACCCTCTCTCTTCGCGAGGTGCACGTGGCAAAACTTGCAGCCGAGACCATGCAAGCAGCCCCTGGCACTGGCGAAGAAGATGCAAGGATTGCAATCCTTGCAATCTTGCTCGCCCATGTTCGCAGCATCCGCTGCAAGCTCCGCGACCGGCTCTGGCGCAGCCTTGGTCTCATCCATGATGGCGACGTTCCCATCCATGCGATCCCAGAAGCATGTGTCAGCGCCGGAACAGGGCCAAGATGAATACCTGCTCCACTTGACGGCCATGACCTGGATGTCCTCATCCGAAACCACCTTGAGGAAGGTGTTCTGGTGCATGACGCGCTGCATCTCGTGAGAGAACGATGTGGCAGCCATGGGTGCAGGAGGGCAAGCCAAGAGAAAAAATCAAGTCCTTGACCCAAAACGGCACTTGAAGAAGACGAGGCCACAAAGACCTACACTCACAAAAAAAACATCAGGAATCGGTTCGGAACTCCCGAGCAGAAGCCGACGCGTGAGACAGGTGAAAAATCTTAAACGTCCTGAGGCTCCCCTTCCAACCCTACGAACGCATGCAGCTTCTGCTCGAACTCTCTCTCCCGCCCTCCCTCTATTTCTCTCTCTCGCTCTCTCTCCCTCTCTCCCTCTCCCTCCCTCCCTCTCTCCCTCCCTCTCATTCTCTCCGTCTCTCTCTCTTTCTCTCTCTTTCTTTCTCTGTCTCTCGGTTTAGGGTTTAGGGTTTCGGGTTTAGTGTCTCTCTCTCTCTCTCTCTCTCTGCCTCCCTCCCTTTCTCTCTCCATTCGTCGCCGTACCTGCACCTCAACCGCCACGGCTTCTCCCGTCTGCAATTTGAGAACAAGTGGGGTGTCGGAGTAGGGTTTACAGGGTTTAGGGTTTAGGGTTTAGGGGGTTATTATAGTCGAAACATAAAGGAACCATAATGAGGGCATACCATTATAGTAATTCTTCCGACCCCTATATAGTTATAAGCAGGGTTGTAAGCGCCTTCACTAAGGTCTTACTATAAGCTAGCTTACGTATAACACCCTACTTCTAACTACCCATGAACCTTCAGGTACTCCTTTGGGTGGCATCTTGGGTACGTCACGGGAGCTACGCACCCAAACAAGTTCATACAAGCCTCCGGCAAGGGGCCTTTGTCCCTTTATGGTCGGGACAAGGGCAGTGAAGCCTTTGACGGTTTTGGGTTTAGGGTTTAGGGTTTAGGGTTTAGGGTTTGGGGTTTAGGGTTTAGGTTTTTAAATCCCCGACAAAACCCGCATGAGTCGGAGTCGGGTTCTGGCCGCCAGCTCTGTCAGGTTCTGCGCTACAGGACGTGCATGAGTCGGGCTCTGCGCTACAGAACCGGCCCTAAACCCTACACCCCTGCACCCTAAACCCTGGCGCCACGCTTTCGCTTGTGCATTTTCTGAGGGCGCGGGGCCAAGGTCGTATCGTCTGCAGGTAGGAGTCGGTAGAGTCCAGCTGCAAGCTCTTTGAGCAGCAAAATCAATCAAATTGGGTCTTCCTCTGGTTCGGAGAAACCTCGAAGCGCTGTGATGCCGAGAGAACCACCCGAAAGCCTAAACCCCAAACCCGAGACCCTACTTCAAAACTCGTAACCTTAAACCCTAAACCCGAAGTCCTCAAGCCTTTGGCTGGATGGCGCTCTCCCGGTGTCTGGCCTTCGAGGGCAAAGCAAAGAAAGGCTTGCAAAACGAGCTTGCCATCCGCCGCAACGAATGCCCTTAAACAACTTAAACCTTGAAACACATTGTCAGTCAAACCATACTAAGCCTAAAACACCTGCACGACCCTAACATCCTGTAAGGCCTTATGCCTAAACCCTAAGCTACAGGCTACAAGCATGCCCTAAACCCTAAACCCTAAACCCTAAACCCTAAGCCCTAAAGCCTAAACCCTAAACCCCAAACCCTACAGCCTAAACCTAAACCCCAACGAGTGCCTCTGGGCTTAATTGTTGCGGGGGGCAGGCTAGGGCCCCTCTCGCACGCAGTCTCCCAAGGAGACATGCGAGGCCCATTATGGTCCCTGGCTTTAGGGTTCAGGGTTTAGGGTTTGGGGATCCTGGTATCATGCGGAGGTTTATATCCTGGGTACCCAGAAAGGGACCATAACTTAGAGAATCCACATGGCATCTAATTCCTTGAAAGGGGTCGCTTGAGTGAAAAACGCGAGTGCAAGGGGGATGGTCGGCGCGGTGCCAGGCACTCGACCGGTTGAAAGTCGCCGATCGTTTGGCACGGCGAAACCCTCAAGCGCCCGAGGCATAAACTGGGATGGCCCTTTAAAACCGGGTGAAAATTATTTGCAACTATGATCCTCTTAAACCCGCGAAGGGGAAATGTAACATGTTTCACGGGCCTACCGAGTAAAGCCCTGGAGATGTAGGGAGGTCAAACTCCTCCCGAACCTGGGCACAGAAAAGCCATCTTGGCATCAACCTGCATGGCCTTGGATGCTGGACAGCACATCCGCGTGCCAGATCATAGCGACTGGTCTACCCAGCACATCGGTATTTCCCAAAAGGAGCTCGTACCCCAAGTATACCCTAAACCCTAAACCCTAAACCCTGGAATCCTTGCTACTTCTGGACCCAACCCGATGTCAGGCAATGAGATTCTTCCTGCACAGCAGGCCAGATCTGGCCCTCCAGCCACTAGAACATTCACGAAATGAGGGTTTAGGGTTTAGGTTTAGGGTTTAGGGTTTAGGGTTTAGGGTACACCCCTAACGGACTCGTGGCCAGAGGAAGCACAGAGCATGCAGACATCGCTATCTCAAAGCTATCGCAAAGCTGAGTCTTACAGCGCCCGATGGTTCATGGGTAGTTAGAAGTACGCTACTGAGGGTAGTACGCTACTTAGGGTTATCGGACAGGTTGTAGTCCTACTTATCGCTACCCATGAACCTTCAAGTAGGGACCAAAAAGGGACCGACATTCGGAACTCCCCATGTCTCCCCTAAAACACCCTAGGAACTTCTGAGCCCCAATTCCATATGCGGTTCAGAACGGTGAGCGTGCAGCATGATACACGAACTCTCAGACTTGATTTGAAACTAAACTGGACATGCTTTCCCCGTGGATTCCTTACGAAGTTTCCATGGCTAGTTTTGAAGAGTTCGGTCCCTTTTCTGGGCACGACACGTGTACTACAAGGGGCCGTATTTTCATAGGGCTCGCCTTATCGAAAAAAACCCAACACGGCAGGCAGCTGAGAAGACATGGCCACTGATCAACCAGCCGTACTAGTGGCGTACTAGTGTGTCTTCTTTTTGGCAACAGGGTTGTTCAACAGCAGGGTCCTCTGATACCGATACCCCCAAACATCCCCCAGGCCTTATGGGCCCTAACCATTCTGATCGAACAGCCAACAAAAAGTTTGGACCCTGGTTTACATCGAACAACCCGCATCCACCCTGACCCATGAAAACCCTGGCAGGCATTCCCCATGGGGCTTTAGCCATGGTTCGGACTGTGTGTCCTGCTTGGAGGATCGGGGGGCTTCGTACGTAGGTACAAAGTTGAGTTCCACGTGGCCTGAGGGGACCTCGCTCATATCCCCACTTCGTAACTAGCAAATATATGGGCCTGAATAATTAGAACAGGGCTTGGGGAGGGGGGGTCATTGTAGTACACTGATAAAGGGCCCCTGAGGGAATACATTTGTATTCATTCCGACCCCTATATGAAGTCCCCGATCCTCCAAGTGATGAGTGCAAGCGAGAAGTGGCCAGACTCGGATCACATTTTTTGCATAGAACTGCCATTGTCCCCTGCCGAGCCTGGTCCCCGTGCAAGCTGAAGGGCACCCTACAATTCTCTGGATCACGGCCCCCTTTTCGATATCCAAATATGAGGCTCCGTGTTCTAGTACAAACCTAAACCCTAATCCCGCCACCCCTCTCTCTGTCTTTTGGGGTAGCGGGCGCTGGTCGAGCGCTCAGTGAGACCCTGTGAGGGAGCCCCAGGCGGGCGACCGAGCTTGCCTCCAGGCTGGCTTACCCTCCAGGCAGGCACAGGCCGAGTCAGCAGCAGTTGTCACTGTATTATATTTTTTTGGCTTGAACCCCACACTGTCCGCGCACTGTTGGGTGGGCAGGGCTGTGGCAAAAAATGCTCGGGCCCTGACCTGCGCTCCTGGCACTCGAACTGGCCCTGGCCCTGGCCCTGGCACAGGCCGAGTCATGCATTGGAGGCCCCTTTGGGGCCTTGGAGACCCCTGGGTCCCTCACCCCCGTCCGCTGGGCTGTGGGGATTAGGGGTCGTTTTGTTGGGGCAGGCAGGGCTCTGGCAAAAAATGCTCGGGCCCTGACTCTGTCTGTGCTCCTGGTGCTGGCCTGGCCCTGGCCCTGACCTGCCCTGGACTTTCTGCCCCTTGGCCCTGGCCCTGGCCTGGCGCTGGCCTTGGCCCTGGCTTTGCTGGCCTCCAAGCCCGCTGTCCGCACACCAGTTTTGGCCTGGTCCACAACCCAAGCTGTCCACTCGCTTCGCCAACCCAAGCCGCTCACGGCCTGTATTCCCTGACCCTGCCTCCCTTTAGCCCCTTCGCGCCAACCAAGCCTCGCTGCCTGTGTCTGTTCCTGGCCCGGCCATCCCTGGCCTTAGCCCCTTCGCCCCAACCCAAGCTGTCTTCGCTGACCCTGCCGCCTTTCCGTCTGCGCATCGCAAATGCCCTGGTCCACGCACCTTTCCCCAAAAGGGCATGAGTGCTGACTCATGTGATGCTTCGTAAAAAAATAAATGGTCTTAACTCCTTGAAAGTTGCAAGTGGGCGGTCTTGGGGTGGGTAGGTCTGCAGACTACCGCGCGCTCCCAAAGCGTGCTTCCGTTTGGCAACCCTAAACCCTAAACCCGAATTCTAGCACTAAACTTAAAAGGGAAAACCATTAAGTGAGCTGTCCAGATGCCTTCAAGATTTCGGGCTTAGGGTTTAAGACTGAGGGGACATTCGGCCCGGTGCTCTCGGAGCGGCTCCTATTTGGGTTTTAGGGTTTAGGGTTTAGGGTTTAGGGTTTAGGGTTTAGGGTTTAGGGTTTAGGGTTTAGGGCTTAGGGTTTAGGGTTTAGCAACCAGGGACCAGGCTTAAAAGCGCCCGTACGGGAGAACACCGGAAAACTGCTCAGCAGCATCTTGCGGCCAAGAAGTCCGACGCCTTAAGCCCTGCACCGTAAGTCCTAGGCCCTAAAAACTGTAAACCGCCTCTCTATAGACTGCATATGGGTAGTTGGGTGGTTTCAACAATTAGGGTCCCCTTTTGGGATCCATTATAGAAGGGTGCCGCCTTATACTGGGCACCCGCAAAAGGGACCTTCATTTAGAGAACTCCCAATTTAATGCCAGCACCGGCATCGCAGAAATGGTTGCCGGTGGGCTTGCAAGGAGGGTTCGCTCGGTGGCGTAGGGGCTTTCGGGTTTAGGGTTTAGGGTTTAGGGTTTAGGGTTTAGGGTTTAGGGAGTACGCTTTCTATGCTCAAAGCGACCTGACAACTCTTCGTGCGGGAGGGCATCTGAACGATCTTGGCCTCCTAGCCTTCGCAAGAATGCCGTGAGTCATTGGTAGCCACGCCACGCTGTTGTGCCGCATGACGGACTTATTGGAGCACGATTGTATCCCCACAAAAGATCCCCAGAATAAGGGTCTGCTTAGCAAGGACTCTTTAAGGGATAGCAGGGCCTGCTAAGTATTAGAGCCAATTCGAGCTAATGACGGCTTGTGTGAGCCCGTTCAGATCTGGGGAGTTCTGGGGCTCATCCTGTGATTATTGGCCTATATGACCTCGGGAGAAGCTCTCTGCACCACTGGCGGTGGTAGTAGACAATGGCGAAACACGGAAGTTCCCCAAACTCTCTCGCTGGTTTCGGCTAGTCTTCTCTGTAGGTGTAAGCCACAATAGTTTCTGAAAATAGAGCCACCACAGTACTCTTGAAAGGACTAACCCATGAAGCTCGAGCAGACAGTCACAGGATACCCGAACCCCCCACACACCCAAGTGCAAGCCCTAAACCCTAAACCCTAAACCCGAAACCCTAAACCCTAAACCCCGAAAATCGATCCCCAAACCCTAAACCCATGCCGTGCAGAGAGCTCCATGGCATGTGCCACCATTGTGTAGAACAAGTCTTCACACAACGATTCCGAGCTTCCGTCCTCAAAGTTCGGAAGCTATGTTTGTTTGTAGCATAAGATAACATGCATTCAGAGATGACAAGATAGGTTCGTAGCATAAGATAACATACAATCAGAAATGCCAAAATCGATCGGCATGCAGGCTTTGGTTCTTGATAGAAAACAGATGATGATAGAAGATTGTTTGCGTGTGTATGCACATATATATATATACATATGCCTAAACATATGTATATATATATATATATATATGTAAATATCGAGGCGGCCCTATTCAAAATCAAGCCGGCCTTTTTAAGCCCCGTGCCCTCAATTGACTCGCCCAGGTCGCAGGATGCGAGCTCGATCTTCTTCGAGAAGTTCCTCAAGTTCTCTTGGAATGATTAGGGAGGTTTAGGGTTTAGGGTTTAGGTTTAGGGTTTAGGGTTTAGGGTTTAGGGTTTGGGGTTTAGGGGTTAGGGTTTAGAATTTGGGGTTCAGCATCCGGGCTTCAGCAGGTGAACTCGCAGACATATGAAAGTTATGTTCAAGAGCAGAAACTGTATCGACTTTCAGGGTATAAGCAGCTATAATAGGAACCCAGAACCAAAAAACATACTAACGTATAGTACTCCAAACCCAGTATCGACATCCGTGCGCACGTGACCTTCGAGGCACGCCACGGCGAAGGCACGCACGAAGGAGTTGTTCTTGGCCATGAGCTGAAGCTCGTCCTGCTGTGCCTGCCTTAGTAGCCCAGGTTTAGGGTTTAGGGTTTAGGGTTTAGGGTTTAGGCCCAGAAATCATCCCATAATAAGGGCACCCTTTTTTGGGTTGGGTACTCTCTAAGGGAACAAAGGATACCACTGGGCTGCCAAGCTGCATGTCCTCTTGGGCCTCCCCTAAGAGCTGTAGCACCTGTGGGGGTTCTCCAAAACAAGGACCAAGAGGGCCCCAACCCTAAACCCCTAAACCCTAAACCCTAAACCCCTAAACCCGCAAACCCCTAAACCCTAAATCTGGGGGGGGGGGGGGGGTTTCCGACATTAGGGGTACGTTTTTGGGGTCCTTATTATCAGGGATCCTAGTATTTTGGGGGTCCCCTGTTTCCCTAAACCCCCGCCTGGGACTTCAGCTTGTCACGCGTCTGCTTCCGTGCACGCTTCTTTGCCGCACCCTCTCTCTTCGCGAGGTGCATGTGGCAAAACTTGCAGCCGAGACCATGCAAGCCTCGGCTGGCCCCCTTAAAACCCTCTGAAACATATTCCCGAAGTTTAGGGTTTAGGGTTTAGGGTAGGGTTTAGGGTTTATGGTTTAGAGTTTAGGGTTTAGGGTTTAGGGGAAATGAAAAAACATCCCAAGGGCCTGCCAAGAAGCAGCCCCTGGCACTGGCGAAGAAGATGCAAGGATTGCAATCCTTGCAATCTTGCTCGCCCATGTTCGCAGCATCCGCTGCAAGCTCCACGACCGGCTCTGGCGCAGCCTTGGTCTCATCCATGATGGCGACGTTTCCATCCATGGGATCCCAGAAGCATGTGTCAGCGCCGGAACAGGGCCAAGATGAATACCTGCTCCACTTGACGGCCATGACCTGGATGTCCTCATCCGAAACCACCTTTCATGGGTTTCCCTATTACACCTTCCGCCAGGTTCCCTCCTTAAGTGGCCTTAATTAGGCTTCATATCCCTAAATCACCTTAAATATGGCGGGAACCTAGGGAGGGTGGTGTAGAGGGGGTAGTAGGCGAGCCCATGAACCTTGAGGAAGGTGTTTTGGTGCATGACGCGCTGGATCTCGTGAGAGATCAAGGTGGCAGCCATGGGTGCGGGAGGGCAAGCCAAGAGAAAAAATCAAGTCCTTGACCCTAAACGGCACTTGTTGAAGACGTTGCCACGAAGACCTACATCTAGGGTTTAGAGTTTAGGGTATCTCTCTCTCTCTCTCTCTCTCCCTCCCTCCCTCCTTTCTCTCTCCATTCGTCGCCGTAACCGGAACAAGTGGGGTGTCAGAGTAGGGTTTGCGGTGCCTCTGAACCGCACCCCGATCCTTATGACTGGGTCCATGAAAGCGTTTGGGGATGAAGGTTAGTCTTCGCGAAATGTCACTATGGTCCGAGCACGAAAGGCTTCACGAAACGCTACTAGGATCAGAGTCCAGCGATAACTCTCGAAACCGACGCTGACCGTAAACCCTGAACCTTTTGAACCCGAAATTTTCGCTCCTGAACAGGCCCTGAACACTAGATTCCGGGATTCTCGGTGTGCTCGACCCCTACGATGTCATGCCCGTATAAGGATTCTTGGAGATCACTTATAGGTAAGTTTATGAGTAAAGCAGCCGATACTATGACCGCTATTAAGGTGCTTCGAACACTATGTAGAACCACTCATGAACCTCCAGGTCATGATACCCTTGACTTTTGGGGAGAAGGCCTACTAGAGCCAAGCGTAACCTAGCGATGAAAAGGGTGCCCTTTTTGGTTTACAGGGGCTTATAAGGGAGCCTAAACCTTACAAAAAGTGAATAAGGGCCTACTCTAGGTCCTCGTCCCCCCTAAACCCAAAACCCTAAACCTGAAAAAATGGCACTACGGACCTACTCTGGGTCCAAGCCTACCAGACCCATGTGCCTCTAGGTCCAAGCATCTGAGAGCGCCAGGCCGAAGGGAACGATCTTGGGATGCTCGGGGTCAATCTGCGCAGGGCTCAGGGTGAGGGAGGTTTAGGGTTTAGGGTTTAGGGTTTAGGGTTTAGGGTTTAGGGTTTAAGGGTCTAGGGGTTTAGGGGTTAGGGGTTTAGGGGTTAGGGGTTAGGGCCGGTTAGGGGTTAGGGTCCGGTATATACCCAGGTTTCTAAGAGATCCTAGCCCCGAAACAAACACCTGAGACCCTGTCAGAAATTCAACTTCCATGTGATAGGGTTGTGCAAATCCTAAACCCTAAACCCTGAACCCTAAACCCAAACCCCAAACCCTAAACCCTGAAAAAAGTGCCACCTTCCCTAAACCCTAAACCGTAAATACCCCAAACCGTAAACACCCTGAACCGCAAATACCCTAAACCGGAAATATCCTAAACCGTCAATACCCTAAAGCCCCAAACCCTCTCAGGCCTAAGCCCGAAACCCTAAACCCAAAAAACCCAAACTCCCAAAGCGTTGGCTCCAGGGACGGAAGTCTGCGGTAACCAGAACTTGGTCTCAAAGCCCTAAACCCAAACCCTAAACCCTAAAACCTAAACCCTAAACCCTAAACCCTAAACCCTAAACCCTAAACCCTCTCAGCCCTAAACCCGGCTCCTTGTAATCCGAGGCGTGGGAGCCGCTGCCCTCGCTGTCCTCCTTAGCCTCGGCGTCCTCTTCCTCCTCCTCCTCCTCCTGCGTTGGCTTTAGGGTTTAGTGTTTAGGGTTAAGGGTTTAGGGTTTAGGGCTGAAGGTATATTTGGGGTCTTATCAGGGTTCGGGTTTAGGGTTTAGGGTTTCGAGGGTTTGGGGCTTACGGAGTTCAGCATTGAGGCTTGAGGGTTGGGTTTTGGCTTAGCACAGTGTTGCTTGTTAAAGCTCTATAAAACTTATGCTTACATGGGGTGTGTGGTGTTCAAGCTTTCTAGGTTGTCAGGGTCAAGCGTTATATGGACTAGAGTTTACAGGGTCTAGGGTCTGTTAAGCTTGCTACCAATTTCCAAACTGGGCTTATCGGATTTATATAAGGCTCACAGAGTGTTGCGTTGACGTTGAGGCTTCAGGGTCTTGGCGCTTTGAAGAGTTTCGAGTTTTCGGGGCGTAGGGTTGAGGGGTTGAGGGCTTCGGGCCACTTTTGGCCTTATAGGGTTTCCGTTTGAGGGCTTCAGTTTTGGTGGGGTTGGCTGGGCGGCAAGGTTCAGGAGCCTAAAAATGAACAACCGGGGGATCCGGATCTACGGGAGAGCAACTGCGGCCCATAAACCCTGTCCTCTGCCTCCTTCGGCTTCTCCTCCTCCATGGCAAAGCTCTGCTGCGCCGCAAAGCTCTGCTGCGCCGCAAAGATTGGCTGCGCCGCAAAGCTTGGCTGCGCCTGGCAGTGCACATCCGCTTCTGAGGCCCCTACGCCCTTAGCTGAGCAATTTCGTGCTGCTCGGGATGTCTACATGGTACACGGATGGATGAGGCTCTTCACCCCACATTCGCATGGCTACGCAAGAGCTATATGTCTGCCAATAGCACACGCTTCTCAGTTGAGACTGCGGGTGAACTCGAAAGCCAGCGAGCCGTGAAGTGCCAGTGAAGATGGTCAAGACTTCGAAAGGAAACCCTAAACCCTAAACCCTAAACCCTAAACCCTAAACCCTAAACCCTAAACCCTAAACCCTAAGCGAGTCGTTTAGGGTCTAGGGTCTAGGGTTTGGACTCGGAGAAGATAACGAGAGTGTCGCCCTGAGCCCCAATTTCGTGAGCCGCGACACCGAACGAGTCCGCTGCTTTTGATGGTTGGTTAGCTCCCGAATGTTCAATCCCTTTTTTTGGCTTCCGCTAGGGCTTGGGTTTAGGGTTTAGGGTTTAGGGTTTAGGGTTTAGGGTTTAGGGTTTAGGGTTTAGGGTTTAGGGTTTAGGGTTTAGGGTTTAGGGGTTTAAGACCAAACCCAGAACCTTCCTTAAAGCCTTACCAAGGGTAACTCCAGGAATATCCCCCAAGAGAACCCCAAGAGCAACGCAAAAGCCCTCACCACTGGAACTCCGGACGTCCTCCCCGTAAGGGCCGACCTAGCACCAGTCGACTTTGCAGCTGGGGCTCCGCACGTTTCAGCTTCGCATTTCGCGAACCCAAACTTCCAAAAGTCACGACAGCTTCGCATTTCGCGGCCGAAGTCCACTAAACGATGGCAGTTTCGAGGGTGGCGTCTGCGGCGAGCGCCCCCAGGCGCGAGCACGTGAAAATTACGAGCAAGCCTTGAGCAAACTCCCCCAGAATCGGGTATCTAAGCCCTCCTACCATTTCTGTTCGGACCCTTGCAGTGTCGACACACTGTTTGCGGACTGTAGAATGGGTAGTTCTTCTAGTTAGGATCCCTTTTGTGGTGCTTCTTTTCTCAGGGTGATGTACTATAATGTACTATATGTCGGACTCAACAAGGGAAGCTAACTTCGAGAACTAACTACCCGAATATCGGCATGACTTCTACAAAGAGACTGGATCTGGCATCCCCTACACCCCAAAACCCGCAGACCCCGAAGCCAAACAAACCTAAAAATCTTGAAAGACACCAAAAAACAGAAGCCCCAACCCGACAACCCGACAACCCGACAACCCGAAAACCCGAAAACCCGAAAACCCTAAACCCTAACCCTCAACCCTAAACCCTCAACCCTAAACCCTCAACCCTAAACTTAACCATAAACCCTTAGGGCACCCACGGCTCACCTCGAGCGCCGCCGACTTCGAGCGGGGGGAGTCGGGTACCTGGGTTTAAGGGCTTAGGGTTTAGGGTTTGGGGTTTCGGGTTTAGGGTTCAGGGTTTAGGGTTTATGTTTAAGGGCCTTTTGAGGTTGTTGTTGAAGGCCTTTGGGGCTTTCAGAGGCTCTCAGGGGCTTTAATTGAGAGCTTTTGAAGGCTTCTATCGGTTTCAAGGTCCATCACCAGCTTTTTCTAAGGTTTTTGTTCAGGCTTTCGGGGGAGTTTCGTTTTTTGGGGCTGTGTGGCTTTAGCTTTTTTTGGGGTTGCAGGCCTTGTAGGGATTGAGGTCGATACATATATATATATGTATGTATATGTATGTATGTACATATGTATATATATATATATACATATATATATATGTATATGTATATATATATATATGTGTGTGTGTGTGTATCTCACTCACTCAGCGCCAAATCATATGTGCACCTAGTTCTTTTCTATCTATTTTGCTCTTCTTTTGTGCTTTAGGCTCTCGGTGCTTTCGGAGGCTTTTCTAGAGTTTGTGGAGCGTTTGGGGCATTGTGTTTGGGGCCTTTGATGTGTTTAGGGTTTTTAGGGGCGTGGGGGGGTTGGGCATAAGCGTGTTGGGGTTTCGGGCCTGGGTCTGCAGCTGCCACAGACAGCGCGTGGAAGGGTGTCCCAAAAAGGTTGGAGCGAAAGTTTCGAGCGAAACGTTTTGAGCAAAAGTTTTTGTTTAGATAATAGGTTTTCATTTATGGGGGGGGGGGGGGTTGGGGAGGGCTGGGCGGGGGGAACTGGATGAAGGGGGGGCCTCTCGGTAATTTGAAGCCTGATTTGGAACCTCCCGAACTTCCCTGCCTCTTCTTGGTGCCTTTCTGGGGCCTTTTTGGTGCTTCCCGGAAGCTTTTCGCCTCCGGGAGCTTTTGGGGCTTCCCGGACCTTATCGGGGCCTCCGGAGCGCTTTTGGAGTCCCAGGACGTTTTCGGGGATTCGGGGCCGTTTTGCCTCCTTGGGGCCTTTTGGGGTTTAGGGGTTTAGGGGTTAGGGTTTAGGGTTTAGGGTTTTGTGTTTTGGGGCCTCCTGAACTTTTTGCGGCACCCGCGCCTTGTTGGATTGGGCGTCAAGTGAGAGGGGATTTGGGGGGGGATCTGGGAGAAATGGGGGAGTGTCTGGGGGTCTGCGGAGGTTTGAGTGAATTAAGTGAGCTGAATATCCGGCTTGCCAGAAGCGATTTGAACTAATTTACTTAAACTCGGCCTGTCAGCTGTTTAGACAAATAACATGGGAAATGCAGAGTGATATCACAGACAATTTCAATTTATTTGGTCTTGGTTTTGGGGTTTGGGAACTAGTTTAGGGTATTTCCCACATAGGGGTACCCTTTTTGCACCCCAAAAAGATTTTTTTCAGCCCCTTGAAAAGACCCCAAAAAGCGTACGTGCCCCTATGTTCGGAAACTCCCAAGTAAGTTTAGAGACTTAAAATGAAGCCAGGCCTCCAAGAAATACATAAGAAATACATGCCCAGATAACATAGTCGTGGTACGTAGACCCATGCAAGAGTAACCTAGGAATAAAAAGGGTACCCTTCTTGGTTTAAAGGGGCTTTAGAAGGGAACCTATATAAACCCTAAAAACAAGGGAATAAGGGCCTACTCTGGGTCCTAGATACCTGTTCTCTGAGATAGCTCTTGAAGGGCTCCGACGAAGGTCTGCGAACCGAGGGAGGGCGGGCAGGAGGGGCGGGAGGGCGCGGGAGGGGGGGCGGGGGGGGGGGGAGGTGGGGGTTGGGCCCTGCTGCTTTGAATCTCAAGGCTCAGGGTTTGCGTTTCGCCCTGACGTAGGGTTTAAGGGCTTGGTTGGGTCTTCTAGTGCAGCTGGGGTGCATCTCGTCCGGCTAGCAGTTGATCCAGCGTACATCCTGACATATGCAGCCCCAAAGCCCGAAACCCTAAACGCTAAAGCCCCGAAGTCTTAACAGTAAGTAGGTTGTACCCCAATCTAGACCCACAAATAGTAGGATTCCCTTATAACAAGAACCCGAATAAGGTAACCCTAATTTCGGAAACCCCTAAATCTCCTTTTGGGTCGAGGGTTTGGCCTCTGCTTCTAAGGGTTTAAAGCTTCCCGCCCAACGTTTCCTCTCCATACTGGGGTTCAGGGCTTGCCGGCAAACATCTCCGTTTGGAGTTGATGCTTCTGCTTTTAGGGTTTAGGGTTTAGGGTTTAGGGTTTAGGGTTTAGGGTTTAGGGTTTAGGGTTTAGGGTTTAGGGTTTAGGGTTTAGGGTATAGGGTATAGGGTTTAGGGTTTAGGGTTTAGGGTTTAGGGTTTAGGGTTTAGGGTTTAGGGTTTAGGGTTTAGGTTTAGGGTTTAGGGTTTAGGGTTTAGGGTTTAGGGTTTATTTGGGGTTCAGGGTTTGGTCACCCAACACCTGCTTTTAGGACTCAGGGCTTCCTACTCCACATTCAGGTTTAGGGTTCAGGGTTCAGGGTTTAGGGCTCAGGGATAGGGGATCCGAAATATAGGCCCTTATATAATTTGGGTCCCCTGTTATATAGCCCATAACAAGGGCCAATACTTCGGATCCCCTTAAATCAAGGGTAAGAGACCACACAGAGGGCCCATGAAACTAATTCTTCCGACCCTTATATATTGCTTCATGTCTTCCTTCCTTTTTGCTACAGCGATACACCTATCAGTGCTATGCATCATCGTACAATGTGACATACTGCTCGTGGGACAGTAGCGAACAAAAAACCTCAACCCTGCACGTCCTCGGAGGGTATGCAGCGACGACGAGATGCGAAATCCTTCCTACCAACTCCAAACCCTGAACCCTGAAACCCTGAAACCGTTAACCCTAAAACCTCGAACTTCGTACTTCAGCGCACCCGCCTGTAAGCCGCATCACCAACTGATCCTGGAGTGGATCGCTCAGGAGAGATTTTGGTTCGACCTCAACCCGGCCCAAAACCTGAGCGTTTCAGGCTTTGGTCGCAGGCTTCACCGGAAAGATCTTAGGTTTGGGGTGTAGGTCCCGATTTCTACTCGCGCGCGGGTTGATCAACGACTTGCGGAGGGTCCCCCAAACTACACCCAAAGGGGTACACTTAGAACCTAAAGCTGTGGGGAATATTTGGGAGCGGAAGAGAAACCCAAATTGCCAACACTATTTGGACAACAAAATGCGTCAAACACCCTCTTAACACCTTAAGCCCCCTTGCTGAGAGGAGGAGGTTTGGGATCCCAATGAAAACTAGGGTGCATGGACTATCCTAAACCTTAACCCTAAACCCATATCAACCCCAGGCGAATAAACCCTAAACCCTAAACCCTAAACCCTAAACCCTAAAAACTAAACCCTAAACCCTAAACCCTAAACCCTCCCCCGATTTGGCACCTTCTTGGTCAGCAGGGGAGTTGCCTTTCCCAGGGCCCAGCCCCCGTGTTTCTTGAGGATCATCGCGGGATCGTCGTACATCCTCTCAGGGGGCTATACAGGGATTCGTGGTTTAGGGTTTAGGGTTTAGGGTTTAGGGTTTAGGGTTTAGGGTTTAGGGTTTAGGGTTAGGGGTTTAGGGTTTAGGGCTTAGGCGATCCTAGCGGGATCGTCGTATGGGGTAGCTATCTAGGTTGCCCAGGAACCTAGGAGTAAAAAGGGTGCCCCTTTTTTCTTGCCTGAAGGGGTTTATAAGGGAGCTTAACCCCCCCCCATGCTAGTTTTGAGTAGGGTTATGAGTACCTGAATTCAGGTTCATTATAATATAGGTTACCTTAGTTGTAACCCTACTTACAACTACCCCTGAACCTTCAAGCACAGAGATTCGGGTAACAGGGTTTTAGGGTTGAGGGGGTACGGAGGGTGTACTCCTCGAGACCTGTTGTGTGTCTTATTTTGGGCTGCGAAGCCCTAAACACCTAGACCCTAAACCCTAAACCCTAACAGTTACCCTCCCAAGCCCCTAGATTCGCCAGGCCAGCGTGGAATCTGTCTGCCCTCCCTCCACATGGACAGCGGCACTTTCGCCAGTTTAGGATTTTATGGCGCTATTCGAAATTATTTCCTTAAACCCTAAACCCTAAACCCTAAACCCTAAAAATTGAAATGTGGGCCCGACCTGAATGGAGAACAACCCCCGCATGCTGGCAGCTCTATTCTCATATATGCGCTCGCCCTGCAACAGAGGTCCATGCTCCTTCAAGGCCCTCTACTTTAGGGTTTAGGGTTTAGGGCTTGCTCCTGGCATAGTCGAAATTGATCTCTTTCGCGTCCGCCAAGATGTCTTCATCGCCATCCACGAGGACATCGTTGACTGGCAAGTTGTACATACCTCGGTGCAGACTGTGCACACCCTAAACCCTAAACACTAAAACCTAAAACCACAGTCGCACCCTAAAACTCGGCCCCATAGTGCACTCGAAGCCCGAAGGCAACTCCCAGAAGCAACTTGGCGAGAGACCTCTTACTTGCAGCAGCCCGCTACATGGTGCCGTCTCCGACCCTACACCTATATACTAGATGGTCCTACTTGATTGGAATGGGTTTTTTGGGTACCTCTGAAAAATGTTCCTGACGATGATCCTCTTAACCCCAATAAAGGCAAAATATGAAATGCCCCAAAGGCCCTACCTAGAGTAGTATGTATATGGCAAGTTCGATATGGGCTTCCAGACTTGTGCCTAGGTACCACATGCCTGCACAAAAGCCCTGAAGCCCTCGTGAGAAACTGTCCTGTACGCAACTCCAGAAGGTTCGGGTTTAAGCTTTAAAGCTTGAGCCCAAATGAAACTCCAAAAACTCCGGTACACTGCCAAAGTTTCGCGGCATGCTGATTGTTTAGTGATTGCGGACACGCCCATTAAGCGGTGCCTTGGGGCCTTTTCTGTTCAGGGTGCTTTAGGCGTAGGGTTACAAGTAAGGCATACCTGTCATATAGCCTTCATTCAGGTACTTACAACCCTACTTATACCTTTCTGCATAGGGTTTTGAGTAAGCTATTCCTATCATGCAACCTTAATTAAGGTACTTGCAATTTTTTTCCGAGTTGAGCTTGGTTTGCGAGTCCACCGTCTTGGTGTTTGGGACCGGGGTCCGTACTGCTAAGTACCACTACACTATCTTGAGCAGCAGAGGCTAACTGTACAGGTAAAGCCTTCTGCTACTAGTGCCACTACTGAGGGTGGGACCTCAACCTATGAGGTCATTGCCTCAGCCTCTCACTAGAGGGTGGCACCTCTCGCTGCTGCTAAGCTCCACCGAGCCCCACCAATCGCTCCTCTTCCCAGTACTGAGTGAGAGGGTAGCCCCTATCTGTGGGTGCGGATTGCCTCATGTCCGCTTGCAAACTACCCTTCTCCCTTTCCTGTCAGTAAGAGGGCATCCCTCCTGGTGCACAGCAAGGCATATACATTCTGCACTCAGAACCTGCGACCCCTCGGCCACAGGCACCAATTACCTGTACAAATTGGTTTGGCCCAGCTACAGGGTTGTCCGCCTGCTTCAGCTGAGAGGAAAGAACTGCCGTAACTGCTCAGCCTGCAGCCCTGTGGGCCCTGGGCAGTGAAGCCCGCCACTTCACAGCCCGAGGATGCCACCTCCACACTCCTGGCGTCTGGCACTCCAGGACACTGTGTGGAGGGTTCCAGAAAGCACCTCCTGAAAACTACCCTGTGCGAGGGTGGATGGGACCACCTGGACAAGGCTTATGTCGACAGGCTTGGGGACACTGCACCCCTCAACTTGGTATATTTGGCGCAGGGTCGACGCCTCCCCTCAACAAGGCGCGGGGACCACGCTTTCCCCTCAATTCCCCCATGCACGAAGTGCACTGGCGCGGGGAAACACGCCAGGCAGAAGCCAAACCCATAAACATAAACCTCAGGCAGCGCCTAAGGCGGAATCTTGCCTCTGGTAGCTATCCCACTCTCAAGCACTGCCGCCAGTGTGGATTTACTGTAGATGAGTCCTAGGCAAGGCCAAGGTGGACAAACTAAAGCTCCTGACACTAAGCTTGGTAGGACTGGGCATACCCCAGCATGACAAAGGTCAGGAGGGCCTTATACCACTCAAAGAGGATAAAACCTCTGGCTGTGTGAGTCACGAAAGAGCCCGCCAGATCTATCTCACACTTCAAGCCAATGTTGAACTGGTTAGCAGCCAGTGTAGGCGATAGCCCGTTACAAGCCACAGACAATGTAGCAGGCTTCCAGAAGGGGGCATGTGCTTTCGGCCTGCTGGCCACTGCATCACGTTCCCTAATCGCCACTGCAGACTCCCAAACTTCCAGCTTCCTAACTCCAGCTCTCCAGGGATTGCAAGCGGTGGCAACAGGCTGTACAGACCAGTTGCTCAAGTTCGCCGCAGCTCCGGCTTTCACTCTCTTACTAACCGTGCCTTGCGGTCCCCCCGAGCATACTGGGCTGATCCCTGCCCGCCAGCCCTTGCCCCTATCTGTTCGGGTCAGAGGGTCTGCACCTCTCTGCTGCCTCGGTGCCACTTGGCCACGAGGCCCATGGAAGGCATCCCTGTTTGGCACGCTCGCTGAAACTCTGCTCCAGGGACTGGGCATCGCGGAAGTGCCCTGCCCTGGTAGTTCGCTCCAGTCGAAGGATGCACCTTCCCTCTCGGCTCACCTCTGAGGTGATGATAGCCAGGCTATCCCTCTTAGAGGGTGGGCTCCATGGCATCTAGGCAGCTACCCTACCTGAAAACTGCCTACCACTTGCCTTCTCACTCGAGCCGAGAGCCTTGAGCCAAGGTACTTGCAACCTTACTTCTACCTAGACCCAGGAGTAACCTAGGAATGAAAAGGGTGCCCGTTTTGCTTTTACGGGGACTAGAAGAGAACCAACCCTAAAAAAATGAAATAAGGGCCTACTCCCGGTCCTAGATACCTACTCATGAACCTTCAAGCAATGCCAACCGAGGCACGCATGGCATCGACCATCTCGTCATACTGGCCCTCGAAGAAGCGATCCTGCACCAAGAAGGCCTCCAGCACGTTCGGGGTTTAGAGTTTAGGATTTAGGGCTTAGGGTTTAGGGTTTTGGGGTCCTAAACCTCCAACCTCGAAACATCTCCTAACTATGCTGCGGGGTCCAAGGCGTTCGGGCTGGGGACCTCGGACTTTCAGGATTCGAGGGCAGCCAGAGCTTGAGATTTCTGGAGAATTCCGGGCAGTTTGGGGCTCAGGCGCTTTCGGTTCGGGGTCTGGAGTGTAGACCAACCCCAAAACCTAAAGCCGAAGCTCTCAAACCTAAGCCTATAACCCCGAAACACCTGAAGCCCTACACCCTACGCAGCCCTGAAACCGAAACCCAAAAAAAACCCTCAAAGCCTAACACACCCAGAACCCCAAAACCCTAAAATCCCACAGGCTGAGCCCTTGAACCCTAAAAACCCTAAACCCCGCAACGCTTCAACCCTGAAAAACCTGAACCAACCACAAACCCTAAGCCTCTTATCTTTGGGCAGCTACATGGTCCTTTAGTATGGGCCCTTAAATGGGGGTCCATACAAATTTGCCCCTTTTTTCCCCTACACAACCCAAGGGCCCATACATCTGAACGCTTTAAAGGAGGTAAGGGACCATATTAAGGGCCCATTTAACTACCCTATGCTGAACCCTAAACCTAAGTCCTAAACCCTAAACCCTAAGCCCCTAAGCCCCTCAACCAGCCTGGACGTAGGGCCCCAGGAGAAAAGTCCGTGGAATCTCGCCGAACCCCGACCTGGGCCAGCAGTCTACTTTTAAGAGGTTGGCTTAGGGTTTGGGGTTTAGGGTTTAGGGTTTAGGGTATAGGGTATAGGGTATGGGTATAGGGTTTAGGGTTTAGGGTTTAGGGTTGAGGATTCAAAAGGTTGCCTTTTCTTGTTTAGTTTTCAGGGTTTTATAAGAGAACCTAACCCCCGCCGCCCCCCCCCCCCCCCCAGCCTCCCTCCAAAAAAAGGGAACAAGGGTGCTACTGGGCATCCTGATTTAAGAGATTGGGTTTAGGGACTAGGGCTCAGGAGTTAGAGCTTAGGGCTTGGGCTTAGGGCTTAGTGCTTCAGGGTTTAGGGTTTAGGGTTTTTGCAGAGTTTGGGATCTAGAGTGTAGTGTTCGGTTGTCGGAATTGAGAGCACCGGACTGGCGGTGGTTTAGGGTTTGGGGTTTAGGGTTTCAGAGGGGGCTGGGGAAGGGGGGGGGGGGTGGGAAGGCCGCCAGGGGGTGCGCAACGACACATGCTTGAGCAACACTTCCCGCACAAACATAGGATCCTTCGATCATTGATTCTAAATCTAAGACTAGCCTAGGAATATGTAAAGGGTGCCCTTTTTGGTTGATAAAGGCTTTGTCAAGGGAACGTAACGCCCTCGCCCCCCCCCCCCCCAAAGGGAATAATAATAAGGGCCTACTCTGGATCCTCGGATGTCAGCTTCTTGGCAGTCTGCTTATGGTGCTGGTGACGACCTAGGGTGGATCGGAAGAGACTTAGTGAGGGTTTAGGGTTTAGGGTTTAGGGTTTAGGGTTTAGGGTTTAGGGTTTAGGGTTTAGGGTTTAGGGTTTAGGGTTTAGGGTTTAGGGTTTAGGGTGGGTAGTAAGTAGGGATCACCCCAGTTAGGGTCCCCTTCGGATCCTCCAAGTGAGCCAAAGTCACGGGAGGTGCTTGGATGTCCGGGCAAGTCTGTTGAAGAAGAGGTCTGAGAGGTTCTTGTGGGCCGTAATTGGGTAGAATGAAACCGATTTACCCCAAATCCTAAACCCTAAACCCTAAACCCTAAACCCTAAACCCTGAACGCTTGTCTTGGAGTTTTCTCGGCTGCCAGCATTCATGTCTTGGAGGCTGGCTGGGTGAGATTCAGGCTATCTGGGAGCCACATTGGGGCGACTTAGGTTCCAGGGTTTAGGGAGGTTTAGGGTTTAGGGTTTAGGGTTTAGGGTTTAGGGTTTAGGGTTTAGGGTTTAGGGTTTGGGGTTTAGGGTTTCACAACCCCAAAGCATATGGGCATTTCCGAAAATAAGGGGGGTACCCATTTTACACCCCAAATGGAATAGAATCCCCTGAAAGGGACCCCCCCAAACAGGGTGCCCCTATTTTTTGGTATATGAAAGACACTACAACAGGGGAGCCCCGAGTTAGGTTACGCCCCACTTGCTCAAGCGGCTCAAGTTTAAGCCGAACTTCTTGACGTCTCCGTGCGCTGCGGCATACTTTCAGAATGCCACAGCACAGGCGCTGCTACGTAGAACGGTTTAGGGTTTTGGGGTTTAGGGTTTAGGGTTTAGGCTTTAGGCTCCACTCACCCGTGCACCACGGTCCATGTAAGAGACTGGTTGCTCCGGGTAAGCTCGCATTCCAGGATGGGCTATAGTACACCCTATATACTTTTTTCCTTCAAGAAGGCCCTTTGTCGGATCGATTATGGGGATTTTCAAGGCTTCACCGCCCATCCTGGTTTGATGATCGTTGACGCGCAGCGCAAAGGACATGGGACGAAAGCGAGGCTTCACCCTAAACCCTAAAACCTAAACTCTAAACCCTAAACCCTAAACGATACCCTAACGAGGCAAACTTGTCTGCATGTACGGGCGTTTCGCATCGAGCGACGTCAACATGCAGACTTCACCCGGCAGGCCCCAGGGGCCCAAGCGCCAACCGATATCAGAAATTTAAGAACTACACATACACATATACAAATTATACAAACA